TAGACAAACAACCACCAAACGAAGCACCATACACAGAAAAATCATCCATGAAAACTTCTACCATTTCCTCTATAAGATCAGAGAAGATAGACATCATGCACCTTTGAAAGGTTGCTGGTGCATTTAATAACCCAAAAGGCGTCCTTCGATATGCAAGATACCATAAAGGCATGTGAAAGTTGTCTTCTCTTGGTCATTAGGATGAATGGGTACTTGAAAGAAACTACTATAGCCATAAAAAAAACAGTAATATGGGTGATTGGCTAATCTTTCTAGCATTTTATCAATAAAGAAAAGAGGGAAATTGTGGTAACCCAACCCGGCAACTATACCGCGGTCGTGTCCCACTACATCCATTAAGTCCTTGATAAACCAAGACCTCTCCGTCTCTCTCAAACTGCACCCTTCCACGGTGACAATCCAAGTGAGCTATGTACTTGCCTAACCAGTCCATTCCCAAAATGACATCGTAGGACTTAACTCTACAGATCACTAGATCCGCTGGCATGTTTACTTCGCCAAACATCACTGGAACATTCTTGATCGTCCCTAGTGAAAACATCACTTGGCCTCCAGCCGCCTGAACTAACCCAAAGTCCTCTCCGGGTTCCTTCTGGAACTGTCCCTTTCCGATCATGTCCGGATTAACAAAACAATGACTCGCTCCCGAGTCAAACAGAACATGGGTTTCAACTTCACCCATTAGCAAGGTCCCTACACATTCATTCCCTAGAATGCTAAGACTCTATACTAACACACAACACGCAAAAGCAATTTACAAAACTTTATGTACCACACGTACCAGTAATCGGATGAGAAGTGCTCGGTTCCTCAGCTGATGCTGCACTCGTTGTGTACACCCTCGGCATAATGGCCTGTCTCTTGTCCTGTGATGCAAGCGCCTCCCCTGCTCTCTTCCCTTGAGCCACGGCTTGCTCCACCACTCCTGCCTTAGGACACTCACGCTTGAAATACCCTGGTTCTCCACAACCGTAGCAAACCCAAACCGCACTGTCACTGTCGGACACACGGACCACGCGCAGATCCTCCTCCGGACAGTTTTGTACCCGATGCTCTAAGCTCCCGCACTTGTGGCATCCACTACCACCGCGCCTACACTCGCCAACGTGAGTCTTGCCACGCTTGCTGCATACGCTGCGTCCCCCATATCCTTTGTTTGGTGCTCCTTTCCCGAACTTCCGCTTTTGTCCACTAGACTGACCCGCCTTGGTCACGGCTTTACTAGCCCCAGCTGTCATCAAAGCAGCTTCCGCCTGTCCTGACTCCAACAATGCCGCCTTCTCAACAAGCTCAGCTACTGTTCTGAAGTCACGGACAACACATCCGTTCCTTAGCTCAACTCGCAGTCTGCTCATGAACCTACGAATCAGCTTCTCCTCCCTGTCAAACTCATGAGACACATACTTCCTCAGCTGGTTAAACTGAGTCTCATACTGCCTCACTGTAAGCGTCCCCTGACTAAGGTACAAAAACGCCTTCTCCAACTCGTTGTAAGCTTCCTGTGGGAAGTACTTACTCCTGAACATCGCTGAAAATATCTCATACGAACAATTCGCATTCACCAGCCTTCCAACGATTCCTTTCCACCACGTGTGTGCATCACCCTCCAAGTAGTGCACGGCTATGTCCCTCTTATAACCTTCTGGACAACAGATAGACTCAAAATTCCGTTCAAGCCTCATCCTCCACTCATCTGCCTCAATCGGTGCAGAACCTCCAGCAAAGAACTTGGTTCCCAACCGCACCATGTGATCCAAAACCTTGAGGTAACTCGGAACCCTCTCCACTTGGTCCGCTTCCTCACCAATCACATCCGTATTAACCCCCATCGGTGGTACTACATGTGGTGCTGCTGCAACCGCCGGAGCAGGAGCCACCGCAGGTAGCCTAGCTAGTACCTGTGCCAACATCCCAAGCACAGCCTCTAACCCCACTGGTGCCACATTCGCAGCATCTGCAGCATTCCCAGCTATCCCAGCTGCTAAACCCGCTGCACCCGCAGCATTCCTTGCTGCCACATTCTCAGCATCCGCAGCATTCCTTGCTGCAACCTCGGCTGCCACTCTAGCCGCCTCATTTGCAACCGCAGCTGCCTGTCTCTCAGCCTCACTTGCCCTCTCAGCAACATCACCGTTTACTGAGTTCACAGACCCAGCAGCCTGGTTGTCCCCATTGTTTCTCACAGTTCTTCTGGTATCAACCATCTGCAAGTATAATAATGCCAGTTAGCCGAAGCTAACTCAAAACGTGTTTCACAACACCACATGCACTCACCTTAAACAAGGCTGGAAACAGATTGGTCAGAAGAAATCCCGATGAAATCCGCGTGGAAATGAAGATATCTGATCTCCCTAGGAATCTCGCGGATGTCCGTACGATCCGATCCATTTCCCCTCGGCTATCTCTCGATCTGTTCACCTTTCTCCGAGCCAAACTCTGTTTACTCGCAAAACCCTAGGTAACTCGGACTTAACCGACATTTTCCTGGTTCCAGTAGGATTTATCCCGGTCCGATTCGATTCTCTTGGCTATTCCCTGTACCGGCTGACCATCCACGCGATAAACCATCAAAATAGCCGACCAAACACTTGGCTCACGGCCCAAATCCCTTTCCACTCGGATAAACCGCCCTTATCCGAGGTGTTTTCTATTTTTCACCCGGATATTTCCTTTTCTCTCGGACAACACGTCCCACCTTGGCTAATCCTCTATTTCTCTCGGAGGTTTTTCTTTTTCCCCCGGAAACAGTCCACTGACAGTCGGACTAACCTCCCAGACTCTCGGATAAATCCCACTGCACCGGGATAAATCCCATTTTCCACGGACTGGACCCTCTTTCCCTCGGATATGGTCCATCCGGCTCGGCTATCCAGCCAACCATCCGACTATTCCCCCGGTCATCACCCGACCATAGTCTGAACCTCCATTTCCCAGCCAATATCCGACCCTTGGCTCGATCATTCCTCGGACAATGCCCTGTCCAGCTCGATCATTCCGAATTTTCTCGGATACGGATGCTACATAAATGATCTTTTCTAGTGGCTGAGTTGAGTTTCATATAATCAATACACATTCTATGTCCAGTTATTGTTCTTGTAGGAATCAACTCATCTTTTCCAACATCTCCCATTACTTTTGAGCAATGTATTTATCTATTTCATGATTGAAAGATATGATTTAGTATAACAAGAAAGAAAGCTAAAATAGTAAAGAAGAGCATGAATAACATCTTATGAATAAGTATGTTTCTATACAAGTTTAGAATATTTTAAGTAAAATAAAGTTTGGACTTAAAGTTCAAAAGACCAAGAAATGGTTGTTTATATGAAAAAGTTGTTATTGACAAGAAGTCCAATAACCTAAGAGATTATAAGATAATCATATGAGTTTATTCATTAAGCTTATACTTATAATGATTGCCAAAAAATGATATATATGATTAAAATGCATCTCTTGAAGAAGATTTTCCAAGGAGGAAAAATATTATGATGTGTGCGGATGTACTCTTTTTCCTTATCATGGTTTTTATCCCATTGAGTTTTTCCATGAAAGGTTTTAATGAGGCAACAAAGAACACACAAATGATAGACATCTAAAGAGAAATGTAAAGATGAAAGTTTATCACCCCTCCAAAGTATTTGTCATACTTTAAGAAGATCAAATAAAGCAAACAGAATGAACTAGACGAATCATTAACAAGAGTCATGCAATGCAGAAGAATGGCGATGTACGTATCCTACAAATTCATTCAAGTGAAGCTTTGAGAGACAAATTTACCAACGCGTTACTTTCAAAGAGTTATTTCTTCATACTGGATTGCGTCATTTCAAAGATCTCAAGTGATGTAGTCATGAGGGGGAGTTAATGCGCGCTGCACTCTTTTTTCTTAGTTATGGTTTTTCCCACTAGGTTTTCCTAGCATGGTTTTTAACGAGGCAGCATCCTACGCGCTTTAGAGAATAGTTTGTATAATGAACATCAAGGGGAAATGTTATGAAATATTATGTGATGTCCATTATAAGCCCATAAACCCATCTTCTAGAAGATTTTAGAATTACTTGTAAACTAGGTTTTACTTTGTTACCAAATAAAACCCTCTCTTTATACTTCTATATAAAGGATCACCTACTCATTAAAATAATAGATAACTAATTCCTTCTATCTTTTCTATATATTCACAATACTTACATATATATGTAAAACTTTTTTTTTTCTTTTTTGCTCTAAATATATATAAGATTTTTGGTCCGACGTATATATATATGAAAGTACAAGAAAATATACTTTATGTTTTATATTGTCATGCATAAGATCCTCTCAAAACGTCATTTTCTGTAAGTTCCGTAATGGCATGTGACCTGAGAAAGTGAAAAGATAAGCAAGTATAAAAACCATAATCTAGAGATCTTTTTGTTTTGTTTTAACGTGGTTGTTTGGTTTGACTTGATGAATTTTATATAAACACCAAGAATCGATATTAGTATATTCATAATCATATATAACACCAAAACTCGATATTAGTATCCAAAGTTCCATGGTTTTGACAAGAGGTCGTCATGATTCTAATTCCTTAATTTCCGGAATGGTTTGATGAATTTTTGGTCGAAATTGTTGAATATTGCCTAGTCAACATCATCAACTACGATAAGATCATTGTAGTTGGTGTCTACTCCATAGAGGTATAAACTAATGTTGGTTGGCTAACTAATTCTTTTGATAATTGAATAAGAATTTGATAATTAGAAAGGCTTAATAAATTAATTCACAGTGTTCCGAGTTCGTTAGCAACTTATGAGACAACAGTACTGAAAACCCGTCTAAATCCGAATTCATAACAATTTAACATTAAACTAATCTATTATTTTCTCAACTAAGAAAGATAAGCTCCGATTTATTTATGGCATGTCCCAACATATAGTCTCTGTTTAACCTCTATTTGGTGGTGTATGTATATGATTAGAAAAATAAAATATAGCTGCTTAAGTATGAACTTTATGTGGTACTGATTGAAAGATCTTGTTTCAAGACCGTTTAATATTAACTCAAGTATTCTCCATTGTTAATCTCTCTACTTAGCATTTATGAACACATCTTACAAAGACTTATGAACAAGAAAACGTGGTAAGATAGTGCTTTAATATCATTTAATCACCTGGGAATATTACCGAGCAATGTATTAGTAGAAGGTGAGCTCTGTGCACTTAACCAAGGATCTTGCACCGAGACCGGTGAGCTATCGTTAATCTCCTCGACTGAAGCGAGTATATCAGGTTGTTTCGCCGGAACAACGAGCCTTCTGCTTCCTGCTGATGATTTCTTCACCGATACTGATCTTTCGCTTCCGCGATCAGATGACCGGAGAGAACCGGTCGGAGAATCCAAGCTCATGTTCGGAATCCAACCGCTGAGCCGTATCTGTTCGAGCTCGTCGGCTACTTCAGTCATTGTAGGTCTCATGTCACTGTGAAACGCTAAGCATCTGAACGCGAGCTCAGCGACGGTGTGTATCGACGAGAGAGTCCACGCGTCTAGGTTCAGGTCGATGACCGGGTCTATAATCTCGTCGATACAGCCTGAACCGATCTTGTCAACAGCAAGAGCAGCTAAGTTGATTTCGGTATGCGGTCGAGTAAAATCAACGACTTTTAAACCGGTTATGATCTCAGCAAGAACGACACCGAAGCTGTAGACGTCGCTCTTATCAGAAAGATGGAAGCATTGATGGTACTGAGGGTCGAGATAGCCAGGTGTGCCTTGAGGAGCCGTTGAGATGTGTGAAGTCTCGGTCAGACCGAGCCTAGAGAGTCCGAAATCCGCGACTTTGGAGTTGAAATCATAATCTAGAAGGATGTTGCTGGATTTGATGTCACGGTGATAGATCGGTGGGTTCATCGCAGAGTGGAGATACGCGATTGCTTTAGCCGTTTGTGTGGCGACAGTGAGACGCACGGTCCATGGAAGACCGGTGCCTATCTCTCTTTGTAGATGTTCTGATAAAGTTCCGTTTGGCATGAACTCGTAGACGAGAACCGGGTCGCCTTGTTCGATACAGCATCCCAAGAGACGGACGAGATTCGGGTGACTCACAGAGGAAAGAAGCTTGATCTCGTTCATGACTTGGTCAACACTCTCTGAGTCTCTGTGTCTGAGTCTTTTGATAGCAACCCATTCATCGTTCTGGAGCTTCCCTGCATAGACCGTACCGTATGCACCAGTTCCTAACCTCTGCTTTTCAGAGAAACCGCTCGTTGCTTTCTCGATGTCTTTGTAAGGGAAAAAAGCGACACTTGAGTTGCCTGTAGCTTCAGATAAAAGACGCTTTGCGCTTAATTGGCTTCTCATAGAAGCAGACCGTCTCCGCTTACAAACGAACAAAAAAGCCAATCCAGCTAGCAAAAATGCTCCACCAACGGTTCCTATGTAACCAAATGAAGTAACAGAGTCAAAGATCCATGAACAAAGAACAGAACTTTTAAAAGCCAAATACACAGTAAAGCCACAGTTATACCTCCTACAACAATCGCAAGATTAGATCTACAATGTCCCCACGCTAGCCTTGAACCATGACAATCCCGTAATACTGCAAAGAGTACAGAGGAAACAAGTTAGCAAGAACATCGTCCAGAGAGCTAATAATCTATATATCAACATCATACTTGATTCAAAAACGGCAGCTTTAACAAGTGAATCCAATCTTGATCCCAAAGAACATACAAAAGAAGTAAGTATACTACATTCCAATAACAAGCTCAAAACCATTCCAACCTGTTGAAATCAAGAAGGCTTTCGTCTCACTAACCTTTCCGGCAAGGAGATTTGATATAACCGTCTCCGTCGTAGCCCTCGAGGCATGAGCACCGGTGCCCTGCATTTCCATCAGGAGTGCTAACGCTCGTACAAATGGTATTCGCCGAGCAAGTTGAGTTTCCACAGCCTCCCTTTCGCCACCAACCTAACCTAACTCGCTCAAACTCTAGCGCTATTCCCGCGTGCTCACCCACAGACTCGAAAGCTATCGACGAGAACAGAAACTTGCACGAGCTTCTCCTCAAATCGTTCATCCTGAAATACTTGGCCGAGTTTATCGAGCTCGAGTTCGTATCTGCAGAGAAACAGCTTATGTTTCCTTTGGGATCACAGCTTTTCAGTTTCAGCTGAGTCTCCAAGAACTTCTGCTTGATGGAGCAGCCATCGGTTGCCTTGGTGCAGTTCTCCATCAGGAAACTGTTCTCCGATGTTGGTGCGTATAGCTCGTGGAAAAGCGGATCCATGGCTTCAACACTCCGGTTACAATCGTGTGGGACGCCGACGACGATACTGTCTTCCGTCACGTTCTCGACTAAAAAGCTTCCGATCATTGCTTGCTCCGCCGCGGAGCAACTGAATCGGATCGGACAATCGCCTGTAAACCCGAAGGGATAAGGAAGAATCCATCCACCGCATCTTCCGTTACAGGTGAAATTAGACGGAGAAGAAGAGACTCGGCAAATGGATCCTCCGATTACGATGACGACCAAAATCAAATTCAACTTGTGAGAAATCATCACCATCTTCGTCGTGGACGACGTTTGATAGAATCGATCTTAACAAACATCAACTCCCTGCAAAAACATAAGAAAACTCAGGAAAACGTCTCGAATCATGGATAATCAATTTCCGGGAAACGGAAAATCCTGTGATGAAGCCGAGCTCTAAAACCCTAAGACCTCGAAACCAGTTGGAAATTAGTTGAGCTATTAAAGTCTCAGCTCCCCAACGGTACAAAATAAATACACAAACGAGAGAGAGAGAGAGAGAGAGAGAGAGAGAAACTGATTCCTCCATTAATGGCCGAAATTATAGAATCTAAACTAGGGTTTTAGGTTATCATCCATAGATAAATTAAACTATTAAGTTATATACGGATAATCAAAGTACCTTCTGAGCTTTGTTCGTCTTCTCTTCCTTTCTCTTCATCCTCTTCGCAGCGATTTCAGTTACTCCGCTTCATTAGACTTTGATAATCGAAGTAAAATTTGAAATTAACTGTGCTCTGGTGAAGAACTCGATTGCTAATAATCGGGAAATCGCATCTCCGTTTCGAATTTTCCGGTGATCACCTAATCGCGAGGAAACAATCAGATTAAAGACGAAGAAGAGATACGTGCAGCGTGGATGTCTATTTTTCTGTAAAGACGAATAAGCCCTTGGGAAAAGGGTGGGAACGGTATTGAAGTGACGAATATACCCTTTTACGGTCAAGGTCAACGAGCAACTGGGTAATCTTTGACCCGGGACATGAGCTTTTTCTTTATTTTATTGATGCGTGTGTGAGTGGATAGCATAACATTTTTGTTCAAAGTCGTTTTGTCTTTGTAGTTATTAATAAATAAATAAAAGAACAAAATTATGTTGACGGGACAAAAAAAAATATAATTCGAACCAGATTTACGAATAATTTAGTTTTTCTTGTAAAATATTTGTCGTTACATTTTAGACAGTAACAAGCATACACAAACAATGGTTACGTAACTTGCGTTACGTGAACGTAATGGAAGTAGCTGTTGAACCGCTCGAACCATTATTATTTGTGGTATTATTATCTAACAATTTGTCTTTTACATCCCAAATCCTAACAAATTGTTTGTTCTTTTTATTTCATGTTTTCTGTTGGATCTAACTAGTAAGTTATTTGGTTTTTGTGTCTAATAGTATTCTAATTTCGCATAATCTTTTCTTCGGTATAAGCTCATCTCTCAAACCCGTGTCAAACAGTCAAAGTACAAGTGGATCTTGGGACTAAAATATATATTGGGAAAGCAACGTCTAGATTAGGGAAGAAATACACAAATTGGAAAAAGTGAAAATAATGACAGAAAACAAAAATATTAAAATTTCGATAGATCTGATAAAAATACAAAGTTAACAAATAGATGAATGTACATAGTTATATACCATTATATATTAATCTTTGTATTTTGTATTCTTTAGCAATGTCAAGAAGCTTCTGTTCCCTCCAGGCACCAACGCTAGATCTTTAATTAGAAGCTTATGCTAATAAATGAAATCTTTGTCTAAACGCAGCTAATTTAATCGGTTTATACTTCTTCTTTTTTTCATTCTTCAAATTCAACAAATTGAGGTTTAGAATGAAACTCTAGGGGCAATTCAGTGTTTTGCCAAATCAAGGCAAAAGATCTTTGGTCTAATGGTTGGTAGTTAGAATTTTTTACTGCTAGTCAGAAGTTTTTACTCCTCTATTTTTACCATTATTAGTTTCGTAATCCCTTTTCTACAAATGCCTACAATTTCATATAACCTTGAAAAATAGATTAAAAAACGAATTTTGTTTTCTTCCAATTTTCCATCCTCTCAAACGGTCAAAATGTAGGTAGAACTCAACATCCAAAACATAAAACATAGTAAAAAAGTTAAGATATGATAGAACAAAGACTCATCTAATATATATATATATATATATATATATATATTATATCATTTGAACATAAGCTTACATGACTTTGAAGCCTTTCTGACTTTCTTCAAATTCTGGATCAGCTCCCCACTTTCTTCAGAACTCATGTCGGTTAAGGAGAAAGTTGCTCTCTTCAAACGATATGCATTGATTAGAATGTATCTCGCCACCTTTTTCTCCTCTTGTACTAGCCACTTGCTGTAGCCTTCCCACGTGAATGTCTCGAGATGAAACAACAAACATTTTGGAAAATTCTCTGGATGATTCCATTTTCCACTAGATTTGAAACCGTCTCTCCAATAATTCTCTAACTAATGAGGTGTAAAACGCAATGTATGTTATTATTACTAGATCATTAAACCTAAAACCGAGATTAAAAATAAAAAAAATTGCTGACAAAATGATCAATGAACACTGCTTACATTGATGAGCTTCAGGACTCGCAAGTTAGGAGAATCAGAGAGCATGAAAAAGAGTAAATTCCACCACGCTTCTCTAGTTGTATATAGCTCCAAATGTACCAGCTGGTTGAAGATGATACCGGTAGGAAACTTAATCTAATGCATAAGGGATAGTATTAGTATATGAAACAATGTAATACTTGTCTATATGACTCAACATACAATTCAACTGATTGGAAGAAAACCTGAAAACCTACCTCCAAGGGTGCTAATTCCAGGGAAAGGCGCTTGGCTGAAGTTAACGATCTCAGAAGGTTCTCACTGGCCATAGGAGAGATGTACTCAATATAAAGATTTGCCTCCACTAGGTTTGTCACACTCTCAATCAGACGAAATTCTAAAATGTGTTTCGCTTCAATCTCCATGTATTTCAAAGAAGGAGTATTTATCACGTAGCTACAACCGTTGCAGCTTTGTATACGAAAAGATAGTCTCAGTAAGGATGGCACCGAAATAGGGAAAAACGCCACCCTCGCGTATCCAGGTGAAGTATTGAACAACAAATTCTCAAGATTAGGGCAACCAGATAAAAGGTGAAGAAATGACCCGTCGTATATCATGGATAAAAGGTGTAGAGTTTTAAGGGACTTTAGGCAAACTTGAGAAGAATCTTTCAGGAAAAGCAAACAGGACGTGAGTCTCAAGGTTTCAAGTATTTCACAGTTATACAGGCTTCTAGGAAGTGGGAAAACCCTTCCTGGGCCCTTAGATTCAACATCGAGAACCAACTTACGCACATGTTGTGCATATGCAATTCCAATCCACATTCCAATATCAGAAGCATCGCAGCTGTCAAAAGTAAAACTGATATGCAAACTCTCTAGAACCGGAGCTTTGTGCGAAAGCAAAGACTTGCAAACATTATTCGAGAATGTTCCGAGTTCACCTTTGTGATCGCAAGAATCAAACTCGAGTCTAGGGATCATCTTCCAAAGAAACTTCCATTCTTTAGACAAAACACTCGTGACTACGGCAGATTTTGTAGGAAGTAGAGAAAGTATCTGCAGAATCAGAACCTCAGGCAACTTACTGATCCTGTCTTCGTTCATACTTTCACCGCCTCTTTTGCTGTATTCAAAATAAGTAAATAACGAACGTGCGTTTGGTTTTTAGTTTTGGAGCTTATAGATACAAAACCCTAGAACATAAAAAGAAACATACCTTGGTTTCATTGGTCTAGAATTGAGTCGAAGAATTGTGTGCGTAGCTGTTAAATATCCTTATGGACACCAAAACGTTTTTTCAACATTTTTGATGTCTCAAAAAACAAAATAGGGGAGATAAACAATTAGGGTTTCCGAGGATGATACTGCGGCGGTGGAGGGGTGGGTCTTTATGTTTTCTTCTTTATAAACTACAGTATTGTGAAATTACAAAATACTTTCCTTGTTTTGGTGAAAACAAAATATTCATTATTTTTTTCACAAACCCAAAACATAATAGATAAGTAGTTAATACTCTCTCCGTCTCCTCAAAAGAGTGTTGTTTTAGAGTTTTATTTTTGTTTCATAAAAATTGTCGTTTTGTATTTTCAATGTAAATTTTTAAACAAAAATCATGTTTTAACCTTGTTATATTAATGTATTAATTTGAAAGAGAATATTATTTTGTGTGTGAACAAAGGGTAAAACAAAAATTTTAATTATTTTCTTAATTTGTATGAAAAGTGTCAAAGTGGCACTTAATTAGAAACAGAGGGAGTATATTCATAATAAGAAAATACCATCAAATGGCAAATGACTGATTGTAAATTAAAAAATCGACATACGCTATTTCTGAGTCTAAACAGTAAATATTTGACCACCCTTCTTCACGAATTTACCCTCACGCGCTACACAAATTAATCTCAGCAAAATCCAATCTCTTTACCCAATATCAAAAGATGACAGACAAATAAAGTATTTTGCCAGTCACTTAAACTGAAAAAGTTATAATTCATTTTATGTATGGCGTGTGAAGAGGCATATTTATTATCCCACCTTATCCCGTCTTCAATCTCCTGATAACCCCAAAGCGAAATAGAGATAGGGGAACGAACCAGATACAGAGAAAAAATATACTGTTCGCTGGTGAAATATAGCACCCCACACGCCGGGAGTTGATTACCCAGGTAACCCTTATTCGTCGGTCAGTACACAAGCCCCCAGGAATGTTGTATTACTAATTTTGTCTTATAGACCGTAGTCAAAAAAGTTTCTGGTGATTTACTGATGGGTTTATCGATAGTGGCTACCGATTCACTAGTTTGTATCTGTTTCAATCTTAGATTTTTTCCTACAATATTCCGTAAGTGTCAAAATCTAAGTTATGGAAATCAGATCTTCAAAATTCAAAACAAAATTGTAGATATCCTTAGCAGACCTTTACATACAAATATGCACATCTGCTCCGATATATAGTCACTATTAGTCTACTTAGAGTTCAAAGATTCTTAGATCTAGCCACATATCCAGATTTATGTATAAAAGTCACATTTATACATGGTAATCCTTTCTGATAAATAGTCATCCACCATATCTAATTGGATCCCCACAAATATCACTTGGATCACAAATATCACTCAACTAACCTTTAGTTTAGATGTATATATATAAATCCTTTCCCACAAATAGGCCTCCATGACTGCACAAAGACCTTCAACGTCTTTACTTCATGTTCTACTTACAACTTTTTTAAACACAATTGGCAGAGATGGAAACAAACGATCTTCCTCATCGCCTATTTGCCGATTGCATAGTCATAGTTTGACATTTCCTTACGATATTTGAACCTCCTATTTAATGGCATGGATAGTTATCTTCACTTTGCAGTCTCGTTTGTTCTTGAAAACACATTCCAAATACAGTTTGTCCCCCTTGCATGCCACATCCAATACGACATTTTCTGTTCGATCCAATCTTGTGAAAACCCATACATGAAATATATTAAGACGTCCATATGTTTATATACTTGTTTAGGTATTGTTATTTCAGTACCCATTCAAATAAATGACCATCATTTTTAATCACACTTCATTGATATTAATAGACACCTATATAATGTAATAGACTGTCCTATATTTATGGTATTAGAGCAACATAAACATCCATGAAATCAAATAGCAAACTATAAGGTACGTCATCAGACTATTAAATATATTGATGTAACACTCTATTATTATTAATAGACCAGTCCAATATAATCATATCATTACAGATTGTGCCACATGGACTCCTTCTCACCACCTCAGATTGTGCCATCTTTCATCCACCACCCCTGCTCTGCCCTCACCAGATCACTCAGGACTTCCCACAGTTGCACCATTGTTGATAATCCCTAACAATATCAAATTCAGGACGATGCTGTTATTAATAAGAGCGAAACTTCAAGTTAATATTTAGATATGCATATACAGTAAGAAAAGATTCAGAACTATTCACCTGATTATTAAGCTTATAGCTCTGTATGGAACTAGAAGCAGGAACTAGTATTTATAGATACTCCATAAACCTAGGTGTGCCCAAATATTTTAATTTCCCGCCCCGCTCATCGATAATTCTTATTGAAGCATAACATATTACATTTAGTAGTCATCACCTCCGTCTATATCATACTTACGTAAGGCGGCGGTGAATATATCCTGTCTTCTTATTTACTATTAAACTCACAGTCAACTTAAAATAGTAACATAAATGTGAACATATCTACTTCATTCATCATCACGCCCACACGTACTGGATGGCAAGAGATGTAACTAACCCTCAAGTTACTATTCGGCATCATTTACCTAGTTCCTTCTAGCTCATTTATGTCTTGCCATTTACCTAATAAAAATCTAACACTTAGCTATCCACCTCTTTATCCTTTTATAATATTTATTATGTAGCGCTTTTATGTTTTGTTAAAGGGAGGAGACGATCAAACGAAGCAGAAGAAAAATATAAATGAGAAGAATGTTTATATATATAAAAAATTGAAAGAATTTTTAAAAATAAGAAGAATGATTTAATTATTTTTTTGTTACAGAATAAGAATGTTTAAAAATAAGAAGAACAATTAACAATGTCAAGAAGCTTCAGTTGTCTCCAGGCTCCAACGCTATCTTTTTTTTTTTTAACATCGACTTTATTAGTAATAATACATAGTCTTTAAGTAGAACGGTTGTAATACATTACGGTATAAAAGAGTGAAAAATCTGGTAAAATATTTATTTTATATTATTTTTTGAGTTACTTTAAAATATTTTCTTAATAAAAAAATACACGATTTTCGAACATTATCTTATATAGACTGTAATTAGTAATAATAAATCAAAATATAAAGAATAAATTGAATAAATTTAAGTGGAATAGAAAAATATAAAATGAAATGAAAATGAATTCCTTTCATTCTTTAGCATTTTTGAAGTGGAATAATTTACAAAAAAAAAATTAATTTTTTCCTTTGTTAAATAATTTTTTTCATTTTCTTTCCTGTAATTGGTAATAATATTGTAGAGTTTCATGGAATTCTCAAAATGATTTTATAAAACTACATTCCAGTTACAGCCATAGTGTTTATTTTGTCTTATATAGTGTTTTTGAGATTGTCTCTCTTTGAACTTGGGAAGCTTCCCATTTACCAAATCAAGACAAAGATCTTCGGTCTAATGGTTAGTAGTCAGAAAGTTTTGAATGCTCTGTTTTTTACTATTCTTAATTAATTTATTAATGTATTTTTCTTTCTTCAAGTTGTCCACTCTCGAATTGTCAAAACGTAGATGGAACTAAACATCCAAAACATATAAAACTAGGTTGAACTAAAAAACATTGTGAAAGTTAACTACGAGAACAAAGACTCATAATATATATATATATATATATATATATATATATATATATATGTTTCATTTAAACAGAAGCTCACATGGCTTCGAAGCCCTTTCCACTTTCATCAAATCCTGGATTAGCTCATCACTATCTTCCGAACTCATGCCGTTTAAGGAGAAAGTTGCTCTCTTCAAACGATATGAATTACTTAGAATGTATCTCGCCACTTTTTTATCTTCTTGTACTAGACACATGTTGTAGCCTTCCCAAATGAATATTTCCCACATGAATATCTCGAGGTGAAACAACAAACATTCAGGAAACTTCTCTGGATGATACCGTTCTCCGCTAGACTTGGAACCTTTTCTCCAATAATTCTGTGACTAATGAGGTGGAAACGCAGTGTATGTTATTAAACCTAAAACCGAGATTAAAAAAACAAAGAATTGCTGACAGAATGATCAACGAACACTGCTTACACTGATAAGCTTTAGGACTCGCAAGTTAGGAGAATCACGGAGCATGAGAGTGAGTAGATTCCACCACGTGTCTTTACTCGTATATAGCTACAAATGTACCAGCTGCTCGAAGATGATACCAGTAGGAAACTTAATCTAGTGCATAAGGGGCAGTGTTAGTACGTACATGAAACAATGTAATAACAACAAGTAACTCAACTGATTGCAAGAAAATCTGAAAACCTACCTGCATGGGTAATAATTCCAGGGAAAGGCGTTTGGCTGAAGTTAGCAAACTCATAAGGTTCTCACTGACCATAGGAGAGGCGTTCTCAATGAGAAGATGTGCCTCCACTAGGTTTGTCACACTCTCAATCAGGCGAAATTCGAACTTATGATTCGCTTCAATCTTCAAATATTTCAAAGAAGGAGCATTTATCACGTAGCTACAACTGTAGTTGCTCTGTTTAGAAATTGATAGTCTAAGTAAGGATGGCACCGAAATAGTGAAAGTCGTCAAGCTCCGGGATTTAGGTAAAGTATGCACCACCAGATTCTCAAGATTAGGGCAACCAGATAAAAGGTTAACAAACGATGCCTCGCTTATGACGGAATTAGGGTGAAGGTATAGAGTTTTAAGGGACTTGAGACAAACTTGATCATTCAGATAAAACGAACCGGCCTTGAGTCTCAAGGTTTCAAGTATTTCACAGTTATACAGGCTTCTAGGAAGCTCGAATCCTCCCCTAGATTCAACATCGAGTACCAACTTACGCACATGTTGTGCATATGCAATTCCAATCCACATTCCAATTTCAGTAGCATCGCATTTGTATGTACTAAAACTGATATGCAAACTCTCTAGAACCAAAGCTTTGTGCGAAAGCAAAGACTCGCAAACATTATTTGAGAATGTCCCCAGTTTTCCTTTGTGATCGCAAGAATCAAAGTCGAGTCTAGGCATCATCTTCCAAAGAAACTTCCATTCTTTAGACAAAACACTCGTGACTACGGCAGAATCAGAACCTCAGGCAACTTACTGATCCTGTCTTCGTTCATACTTTCACGGCCTCTTTTGCTGTATCAAAATCCAAAAAAAAACTAACAACAAAAGGTGAGTTTGGTTTTTTACGTTTGGAGCTTATACCAAACCCTAGAACATAAAAAGAAATATATTGATACGATTCGTATCTGTTGAATGGCATTAGTTGGGCTCGTTAGTTTATGGCTTAAGCCTTTTATCTTTTTATCAACTTCTTCCTATTTAACTCGTCTTTTCCTCTGTAAACAATTATCAATCAAAAAAATTAATCATCAAATTATCAAAATCTCTTTCTTTCGCTCCTCTTTTCCTTTATACCGACAAGTCACTGGCTAGCCGATAAGGTGTTTCCGTTAAAAGAATAAATCGATTGGCACATGTGGTTAAGCATCACTTTGGTTTACCTAGAGTTCGGCGGTTTGATTCTTAATTTGGTGTGTTTGGTTTGATTTTTTTGATCAAACGACGTAGTATTTATTTCTGTAAATATATTAATGAAAATGTTATTTGTCGACATAGATAATCTATATATATAAATTACATTTTCTCACTTATCATTTTTTTTACTTCTCCTACCGCCACGATATCATAAATTGAATTTAAATACAATTTTTTCAATTTTTCTATAAATTTATTTTTTTAAACTCAATCTCAAATAATTTAGCCCAAAGTAAAACTCTTCATCACTTAACCCAATACAAAATAATATAGCCCAAATCAAACCATTTAAATTATATAAACTAAATCAGAAATAACTAAATAATAACTAAACCAAAACAATCTAATACACAAACTCAAATCCTCTTACTCCCGACGTGAGAAATCCCTAAAAATAAAACTAAATCATTAATCTTTTGTCTTCTTTCTCTACATTAGTTTCAGCATAACCACATCCAAACCAAAATCCATTATTCAAAAAAACCCAAGTCCGAGAGACAACATTAAATACATAGAACTAAACACAAATTTAACCAAAACATTTCAATATATATAAGCGTCCAAACTCCAAAGCATAAAACTTTAAAATACAAATTTCTAAAACCCCAAAAAACAAAATAATAACAAAAATAATATAATATAGTAAATTTATAAGATTTAAATAAATAATATTTGAATGTTGTGACCAAAAAACTCATCCATAAGAATATGTTATAATAAAAAAATATCAAATGATAAAATTACAATAAAATTAAGTTAGAAAATAATAAGATTGCAAGTTGATCCACTTTATTTGTTGATTTTGTTTCAAAACAGAAGTATACATACATGAACTCATTTTAATTGATTTCTAGCTAACAGTACACAAATTAACAAAATAAAATCACATTTAAAAATATTATTTACTATATGAATTAAAATAGTTAATAGAATAAAAATAGAAGGCAAATAGTCAAAAATGTGAATGTATTCTCGGTGAACTCAAAAATAATAAGTAAAGAAAAAAATTAATGTTCTGACTTAAAAATTGTTAGCCACTGGTAAAAGACTTTTGAACTTCTTTGATCAAAATGTTTTTAAATTAATTATAGATTAAAATAAATTAAAATTTTATATAGATATAAGGGAAAATCAAATAAATTGGGGTAAAAATCCTTGATCATTAATTAAAATGAAACAAAGTGAGTATATAGTAATTACTAATATTTTACAAAGTTAAATAAAATATTTTTATATAAGAGGTTACTTTTGTTGAGAACTTCATATATAAATTCTAAATTTTCATTTTATTTGAAAGCTTATATATAGTTACAAACCAAAAATAAATCATCAAAAATATTTTAAAATCAAATATGTTTTTGTGATTTATCTATCAGTAATCAAAGTTTTTACCAGTAATAAAATTTAAAAATAATATATATTAAATATTTTATAATACAAACTCGTGCGTAGCGAGGGTGAAAAACTTAGTCATATATATAATTAGCCAAATCTCTCTCCATCTAGAGTCTCCACCACAGCAATTTTAAATTTTTTTAAATAGGCTTTTAATTATTTTGGGTTTTGGTTTTAAACTTTTATATTTTGGATATTCATTTTTGGGCTGTTAATATAATTAATTTGAAATTAAAACAAATACTTACTTTACAAATCATAAAAATTAAAAATGTTCTATTTGTGAAAAAAAGTTTGGAAGACAAACAACTACAAAAGATGAAATAATAGTTATCAAACTTTCAAAAAATAGAAAGATTTATGAATAAATTTAATGTAAAATTATTCATAGAAAACAAATACTTATTTAACAAACCATAAAAAATAGAAATTCTTAACGAAATAAAAAATACAAAATGTTATTTCCAATATAAACAAAAAGAATGTGAAAAAGAGTTGGAAAGTGAACAATTACGAAAGATTTATCAAACTTAAAAAACAAAAGCTCAGAAAGATTAATGTATAAAAATTAATTATATAAACTTTATTGTATAAAATAAATGAAGGTTTTCATGAATAAAGAAAACTCAAGTGTTTATATTATATAGTATAGAAATGAACTTGATTTATACGGAAAAAAAAATTAAAAATACTTATCAACCATTTTTCTCAAATTTGATATTCAATGACTTTACTAATCAGCCGGATAATATATGAGTTTTAATATGAAGTATATAAATAAACTAAAAAAAGATTATTGACTATCCTTTTTAACAGAGTTACGTCGTTTCCCTCCACATGACATGAAAATAGACAAAAATATCTCCACACATATTCACAAATATATTCATGTAGGTAATCATTGTTAGATGGATGAACACATCAGAATTGCTTCACGAAAGAAGATAAATGCTCAAATCAATTAAAATCAACAATTTATCAAGTAAGCATAATTTTTTGATATAAAAACCTATAAAACATATGTATTATATGAACAGATATCTTGCTCTATCTCGCCAACTCTAACTACAATTTACCTAATTTAGAGTTATAACTAATTACATAATTGAATGAAATGGAAACTTGCATGAAATAAAGAGAAAATATCAGTAGATTGTAATCAGAATAATTGGACTATGAACAATAGAAAAAGGAGAAAAAATGAAAGACTATTTGTACTTGAAAATGTGTTACTTTGTTTGAAAATCCATAAAAAAAAAAGAAACATTCAGTTTAGAGTGAAGAGAGGTCGATGGTGATTTTATTTTATTGATTTATGAAGATAAGTTGTAGAAAAACGATCATAAACTAATTGAATACAGACAAATTGTTAGACTACATATAATATATATTGCAGTGTGTAAATATATGAGAATTTTTTATGATAATTAATTCATCACATTCTATATTTGAGGACAAAAAATAGAAAACATTTAAAAAATCAAATATAACACCTTATAATATAGAATAAATATATGCATAATAATAATATAAATATATAAAAATTTAAAATTAAATTAATAAACAAGTCCGCGTAACACGCGGATCCAAAAATCTAGTATAGACAAGTCCTGTATTGCAAGTGATTTTTTTTTTTTGGTGCTTTATTGCAAGTGATTTTTGAGTTTATAGGATTGACTTGCATTTTTTGGGGTGATTATTTTTCTTGTAAAATAATTAGTTTGAGATTTTTTTACAGTAATTTCTTTTAATTAAAAAAAACAGTAATTGCATAAATTTAAAATATATTTTCAAAACATTGATCATTTTGGCATATTCTCAAAAATATTTCAAACAATGTTGATAATGTTTTTGTGGATGTAATAAGTCACTTCTGCATGGGCCATGTACATTCGCGTAGTCTATAATTATTTTGATCCAACAAAACTAAAAATAATTTATTTAGAATAAATCATCAATTTTTTGTTAATCTAATTTAAAATAATAGACAAATATATTTCAAGTATAGGAATAAATTTGTTTAAGTAATTATAATTTTGTATATAAATGATAAATACATTTATTTTTAATATAAAATCTTATCTCACTTAATCATTGTAATAACATAATATATATAATAAACCATTTTATACCATATAATTTGAATATTTGTAAAATTCACTTGAAAAATCATATATATGCGCAGACGCGCAAGTCAAAATCTAGTATTCATTAAAACAGCTCATTAATTACATAGTAAAAATTATCTAAAAAAAACGTGAAAACCTTTTAGACCAGTAGAATCATTTTTATATAAAGAGATTTAAGTTTCGATTCCCAAAAAAATGTTAATTTTCTAAATTATTTAATAAAAAAAAATTTCCAAAATGATGCAAATAGAACTACGTTGGACCTGTAAATTTGTTATGAATATTTGTAAAATAGATAAATTGTCAGTTAAAAACATTAATCTTGTAATTATTTAATATTTAACAAAACGTAGATGATGTACAATAACAATAATAAGATATTAAAATGATTAAATAATTGATGAAATTCTAAATTTAATCAAAGGTATTATGTATATTAAATAATTGATGATTATATATGATTTTTCTGGTTTAAATAAGTGGCGGATTTTAACGTTGGAAGTTGGAACCGGACCAAATAATGATTGGTTTAGGTGGCGACCTGACGGGTTAACCATGTGGACTGGAAGTCTTTTGAGTAAGACCAAAATGCATGACGGATTAATCAAACCAAGTTTGGACCTTTGAAGCTTCGGATAGACACTTTATTTACAAGAGGTGAGAATGCAATGATGTTATCAAACTCAAATGCAAGACAGGTTGTAGTATAGCAAACAAGAGAGAGTCAATCCACACGTAAGATGATAGAGAATGCAAAGAGAATACAAAGACTAATGCAAATCTAAGCGAAATAAGATGAGTTATGAGAAAATTCTTAAAAACTAGATGCAGCAACTTAAATGGAATACAACCTATTTTAAATTACTAAGAATGATAAAACTACCACGAGGAACAAATAGAATAATTAAAGGACAAAGCTTCGAATTACTAAAATTTGACTAGTGGATCGACCATGAGATCGACCACTAGATCGAGCAATAACAATCGATCTCGTCTAAAAATGCAAGAACAGTAAAACTAACGACCAGGATGCTATCAAAGATCAAGCGAATGACGAGAGAAGATGTAAAGATGCTAAAAGAAAGGGCCTAGGGTTAAGATTCATGGTCAGGGGTTTCAAAGGTTCGACTTTGGGTTGAAAACTTTAAATCGACTCACTTTGTGAGGATCTCTAAGCCTTGAAAACTAAGCAAGATCTATCTGTGGCTTTCGGTATAGATCACTCATTCATCCTCTCCTCCAAACCCATGGCTTTTGGTGGAAAGAGAGGTCGGAGGGCATGGAAAACAGATTTCAAATGAGTGGCTTAACTAGTCCCTCAAACTTCCATGGCTTTTGGGAAGGGGTAACTAGTTTCTAGGGTGTGATCTTCCGAGGCTCCTGAATCCTGTCAAGGTAAGGAACCTCTCGGATCATGAAGCTCTTGGCGTGAGAGTCTTCAAGCATTGAGATCTCAACACCCTAGAAGAGATAGCCGTTGAAAACACTTAGAAAAACCCCAAGATCGAAACCCTTTAGACCCCTTAATCCTCTCAACCCCGAACCCAAATAAACTACTCACTACACATAAGGTAAATCAAGCAAAGCATGTAAAAGGAAACCATGAACATGAAAAGAAAACTAGATTAAGATGAAAACGATTCGATTACAAAGCTTAAGAAAACTCTAAGTTCGACAATGGTGTTCTTCGTCAAAACCAGAGAGAGAAAAACATACAGAAAAAGATAAGGATTGAAAGTTGTCTGTGAAAAGGACGTCGCCGCCTTCCCAAAATGGCCAAAACAAGCTGATGGTCCCCCCTTCGCTAGCAGCCAAAAGTGGTTGAAAGGACAGAGATCGACTCCAGGATCGAGCGGTTCTCTCGATCATCTCCGGACATCGTGTCTTCAGCTCGATCTGGGTTTTGATCATCATCGGCGGATCGAGTGTTGCATCCGATCTCGGTATCGATCTTCGGTTGGATCGGGTGGTGTGCTCGATCTGGCTCTCGCTCTGCATGGCGTCATTTACGTCCGTACCGTTTGATCGACTGCTTCACTCGATCCTCGTCTCGATCATTCTCCTTGGATCGCCTGGTTGGCTCGATCTTCTGGTTGATCACCTCCTAGATCGACCGGCCATGCTCGATCTGCTCCTCGATCTCTGATCCTTAGCAAATATCCGAGCTTCCATGTACTGCTACAACAGCCTCAACATGTCCACGAACCTCCACGACTCCAAAGCAGCCAGAAACAACTTAAATGTGATGCAAAATGCAAGGAACATGCGTATGCTGGTGCAAGAATGCTCTAGGACTCTAAGTGATGCAATCTAACCTAAAATGTGATACAAATGCATGAAAAGCTAACTAATGAATATGCAAAATGTATGTAATGACCCTTGTCATGATCCTTGTCTTTGTTATCTTTTGTTTGCACAAAATAGCAAAATTTATAATTAAAATAACTTTAAAGACTGTTAAAACTTATAATGCATTTAAAAGTGTGAAACACCCTACAGTCTTCACAGTTTCTCTACCAATCGCACCTTTGCGTCTCTTTTAGTCTTTGAGGTTTGGTTCCTTTAACGGTTTGCTAATTTCAAAGATTTACAGTTTCTCTTTTTAGGGTTTATGATTTACGGTTTAGCTATTGTGTTTTAATTTTCAGAGTTCGAAAAGTTTTCTAAAACTATTTATAAATTCTTAAAATTAGAAATGAGTAGATAGTGATTTTAACTACCCGCACTCTACCCGCTATCATCATATCATTAATATCACATTTCCCATTTGCCCGTTAGGCCTAAGACCTTTTGAGACATGATTTACGCAATAGCACGTCTGTGTGTAAAGCTGACTTTGGCTCTTTCCCCACATCTATTATTGGTCACCACGTATTAATCTGACTTGAGAAGCACGCAAAAAAAGACACACGTATCTTCTTCAGTTTTTTATCCTCATCGTGCAAAAATAGGAGACTCCATGGAAATACAGAAGGCGAAGCTTGCAAAGAAAATGATCTCCAATGATGTAAGAACAAGCGGAGGAAACTCAGATTCGATTCCGCTTGATCTGGTTCTAGATATACTCAAACATTTGCCTGTTAAAACCCTAGCAAGGTTCCTCTGCGTGTCAAAGCCATGGGCATCCATCATTCGCAACGGAGATTTCGTGAAATCTTACTTGATCAAGTCGTCGACTCATCCGCAAGGTCTCATCTTCACATTCAAGAGCAAGCGTCACGGAAAACATTTCTTTTTTTCATCGAGTCAACCCCGACATAAAGATGAATCATCGTTATCTTCTGTAGCAAGTTACCATATGAAATGCCATTCTCAACCATACACAGCCATTTCTCCATCTGTCCATGGTTTGATTTGTTATGGACCTCCTTCTAAACTCATGGTATACAACCCTAGCACGAGGCAATCCATTGCTTTGCCCAAGATCGATTCTCATAGGATACGTATGTACCACTACTTAGGTTATGATCCCATCGATGGTGATTACAAAATGTTGTGTATGAGTAGAGGAATGCATGCTCGTAGGGGACGTGGTTTAGCTCAGAAGATTCAAGTTTTGACATTGGGAAATGGGAACTCGTGGAGGATGATTGAAAGCTGTCCTCCACATTCTCCTGAATCACCTCATATATGTATTGATGGGGTTTTATACTATAGAGCTTATCTTGACACAGGTACATGTATCCTTAAAAAAGATCACGCAGTCATGAGGTTCGATGTTCGGTCTGAAAAATTTAATCTTATCAAAGTACCACAAGACAGAGCAACAAAGTTACAAGGATGATAAGATACAGTGAGAAGCTTGCTCTCATGGTCTCTAATGGGTTTCGTGATTACGCTTGTTTAATCGAATTGTGGGTTTTAGAGGATGCTGCGAAACATGAATGGTCCAGTAAGATTTTTGCTTTGCCTAGAATAGCTGGCTTGAAGACCATGTTTCAAGTGTTTTGTGCCATTGATGGTGATGATGCAGGAGAGTTTGTTTTGGCACCAGAGACTTTGAGTAAACCTCCATTTTATGTTTTGTATTATGATCCCAAGAAGAATAGCACGAGAAGAGTCGACATTGAAGGGATCACAGAAAAGAAGCTTCAATCTTGGGACAATTGCTCGGATCGTCGTACAATCTCTATCTTCCCTGGTCAGGTTGAAAACCTCATGTTTTTGTAAGAGTGCTCGCAGAAGATATTCACGTGCTTCATACGTAATCTTTGTTTTATCAATTGTTGTTGAGTTTTATCTAATAACTTGGGAAGTTTCATGATCCTTGTCTCTAATGGGGACGAGTTTCTTATATGTTTATAGACTTGTAGTCTCATCTTCTTTAGTTTAAGATCTACTGTAATCTTCTATAGTTCCATATGCCAAAACGCTACATCAAAAACTCAGACTACTCCAAGAAAAAAGAAAAAAAGTATGAATATTTTCTCCATTTACGTAGATGGAACTTAACATCCAAAAAAGATACAAAAACTCTCCTAATATTATATGTTTCAGTTGAACAGAAGCTGGCATGAACATGAAGCCCTTACCACACTCTCCAACTCGAGCCTATCATCAGAAGTAATGCGTTTTGAAGAGAAAGTTGCTCTCTTCAGAATATTTGCGTTCCTTAGAATGTATTTCGCCACTTTTTTCTCCTCTCGTACTAGATATTCGTTGTAGCCTATCCACATAAATGTCTCGAGATAAAACAACAAACATTCGGGAACATCCTTTGGTTGATTCCATTGCCCATAAGCAATGTAATTGTCACTCCAACAAACCCGTTCCTGAGACTAATGAAGGTGGAAAGATAATGTATGTTATTAGCAAAACCTAAAAACCGAGCTACAAAAATTTGCTAATAGATGAACACTGCCTACTTTGATGAGCTTGAAGACTCGCAATCTAGGAGAACTATTGAGCATGAAAGTAACTAGATTCCACCACGCTTTACTTGCACATAGCTCCAAATGTACCAGCTGGTTGAAGATGATGCCGGTAGGAATCTTAATCTAATGCACAAAGGCAATATATATTAGTACATGATCAATGTAATAACAACAAGTAACTCAACGTATTGCAAGAAAAATCTGAAAATCTACCTCGAAGCCTTTGACGAATACAGTTGGATCGAACAACAAATTTTCAAGATTAGGGAAAGAAGATAAAAAGTTAACAACCGATGCTTCGTTTTTGAAGAACACATTGTCAAGATGTAGAGTTTTCAGGGACTTTAGACAAACTTGAGAAGGGGCATCCACATAAACATAAAGCTTGAGTATCAAGGTCTCTAGTGTTTCACAGTTATACAAGGTTTTAGGAAATCCGAATTGCTTTAGCTTTGACTCAACCTTGAGTACTAACTCTCGCAAATGTCTTGCGTCTGCAGTTGCAGTCAACATTTCAATATCAGTAGAAGTACAGTTCCATGCACCAAAATTGAGATGCAAACTCTCTAGAATTGGAGCTTTATGGGAAAGCAAAGACTTGCAAACATTCTCTGGAAATGTCTTGGCTATGTGATCACAATAGTCAAACTTGAGTACAGGCATCATCTTCCAGAGAAACTGCCATTGTTTAGACAGAACACTCGTGGCCATGGCAGATTTTGTAGGAAGTAGAGACAGTATCTGAATAATCAAAGCCTCAGGCAACTCACTGATCCTGTCTTCATTCACAACCACTCGATTCTTCTTCATACTTTCGCTGTCTCTTCTGGCTTCTGCTGTCAAAAGCCGACGTTAGGGTTTTAGATCGAGGATGATACTGCGGCTGAGAGGATGTTTTTTCCTTTTTAAACCTAATGTCACATTACGACAAGCATGAAAATATATACATAAATTAAAAAGGTGAAGAACTACTCCGCCAAGTGTTTTCCCCCGACGATGTGACTAAGATATTGAAAGTTAAGATAGCAGGGAACCAACAAGATAAGTTGGTATGGTGTTTTTCTTCTGACGGGCAATACACTTCCCAAAGTGGTTATCGGTTTTTGGATAATCAACTGGAACTTCGGCAACCTCCAGATATGATCATGGCACCTCTGGAAAAACAGTTATGGGCTAAGCTTTGGAAGATTAAGGCACCTCCGAAACTCAAGCATTTCTTATGGAAATCTTTAGTTGGGGCATTAGCTGTTAAAGAGCGTCTGCAGTCTAGACAAATACCAATTGAAGGTACGTGTAGTACATGTGAGCAAGGGCTTGAAACAATATGTCATACTCTGTTTGGCTGTGAAAGCGCAAAAGCCACTTGGGAAAGGTCTAGATTCCCGTTACCAACGGCGGGATTCTCTCCGAATTCAATGTTCTTAAACATTTACCATCTGCTTCTCACCAGTGGAAAACAAACAATCCCCCAAGAGATAAGCTTAGCATTCCCGTGGATCCTATGGAAGCTTTGGAAGGCTCGTAATAGCCTGATCTTCAAGAATGTCAGAATGGAACCACAAGAGATTGTGTCAAAAGCTCTGGATGAGGCGGATGGATGGTTACGTATCAACGGTATATTAAAGGATGATTCCACTGAGGTTTTATGGCACACAGATATACAATGTCTATGGCAAAAACCCCTCGTCAATATACTTAAATGCAATATCGGAGCTTCCTGGGTTTTACCAAATAGAAACTATGGAGTAGCATGGCTTGTCAGAGATCACCAAGGTGAAGCCGTATTTCACAGTAGACGAGCTTATTCGGCTATCACGACACAAGGCGAAGCAGAGCTACTGAGTCTACTATGGGCCGTTGAATCCTTGGCTGCTATGAAACAGAAAAACATTGTTATAGAATCACCATCGGCTGAGGGAAGTCATACTCTCACCTCATCGCTTCCCCCAATTTCATGGAACCGTCAACCAAATATACACTCACCTTCAGGCCTTCGAAATTTGGAGTTTGAACTACATCCCTAAGGAAGGTAATCGTGCAGCAGATGCGATAGCTCTCAGTGTCACCAGAGATCATAGGTACCAATCTTATATCTCCCAATCTGGTCCTTTCTGGCTAAACTCTCTCTTGATAGAAGAAGCAAAAGGGAACGTGTGAGCCTACATATGAACCTATGGAATCTGACTCGTTTCATATAGACCAAGTGTCATTTCCTGTATACGAGTCTTCAAAGTCATTTCTCAGTTTTTTCTGTGTCTGTTTAGGCCTTTGGCCATGTTCGATGCCTATTGGTATCAAACTCGAGCGTTTATCGCCACCAATGAAATTTTCAGTGTTAAAAAAAAAAAAATTAAAAAAGTCAATTCTTCCAACTTAAAGAAACACACTATTGAATTTAAAATTTAGTTTTATGGTCTAAAATTCAATGTTTTAGGACTAGGATTTTGGGGTTATGATTTTAGTTTTATTAGCTTTTAAGGTTTAACTTCTAGAGTTGTATAGTATTAGTTTATCAATGAAAACTGGCTTCTTAATTTCATATAAAATATAGGGTGGCTTGTTTAAATAGTTTATTTGACATTTTCTAACATGTAAAATAGGAAATAAGTGCATTTTACTGATATACGTAATCAAATTAATTAATTAAATTTTTTTTACATATTTCTGAAATTAAAATGTTGTAATCATCCCAATTATTGAATGCAACGACTTTATTGTATCGGAATCGTCACTCTCAACAGTGTGAGCTTTCGTAATTTCATACTCTATCTGTTTCATAATAAGTGTCATTTAGAGAAAATGTATCTGCAATGTATCTGAATGTATTAAACTCAAAACACATCCAAATACATCCAGTTACAATGCAAATACATTTTTTCCAAATAACAGTTATTATGAAACAAAAAGAGTATTCATTTGGGTTCATCTTTGATACCACTTGTAATATTTTTGCTCTTACCAGTGAGCCAACACCCTGTGGGCCATACCCTTATCTAATCGATGTTAATTGGGAGGTTCAAATAATAATTATACTCTCTAATAATTATATTATTTTTTTCTGTGTTTTGTCCTACTTCATATAGTATTAAAAATTATTTTCCAACATGTCACCATTCTAGCGCCCTTCCAGCACAAACACCCTTAATTTTATAGTTTTCTTATTACTGAAAAGATAAAGTGAAAAAAAAAGCAGGAATATTGCCACTTACGTAGATGGAACTCAACATCCAAAACAGATACAAAAACTCTCCTAATATTATAATATGTTTCAGTTGAACAGAAGCTGGCATGAATTCGAAGCCCTTACCACACTCTCCAACTCGAGCCTAACTTCAGAACTAATGCATTCTGAGGAGAAAGTTGCTCTCTTCAAGAGATTTGCGTTCCTTAAAATGTATATCGCCGCTTCTTTCTCCTCTCCTACTAGACATTCGTTGTAGCCTATCCAGATAAAACAACAAACATTCGGGAATATCCTTTAGTTGATCCCATTGCCCATAAGCCATGTAATTGCCACTCCAAGAAACCCGTTCCTTAGACTAACGATTGTGGAAAGATAATGCATGTTATTAGCAAACCTAAAAACCGACCTGGAAAATTTGCTAAGAAATGCTTACTTTGATGAGCTTGAGAAGTCGCAATCTAGGAGAGTTATTGAGCATGACAGTAACTAGATTCCCCCACGCTTTACTTGCATATAGCTCCAAGTGTACCAGCTGGTTGAAGATGATACCGGTAGGAATCTTAATCTAATGCACGAATGCAATATATTTTAGTACATGGTGAATGTAATAACAACAAGTAACTCAACTGATTGCATGCAAGAAAAACTTGAAAACCTACCTCGAAGCCTTTGAAGATTACAGTTGGATCGAACAACAAATTTTCAAGATTAGGGAAACAAGATAAAAAGTTAACAACCGTTGCTTCGTTATTAAAGAACCCACTGTGAAGATGTAGAGTTTTAAGGGACTTTAGACAAACTTGAGAAGGGGGAAGCACATAAACGTTAAGCTTGAGTATCAAGGTCTCTAGTGTTTCACAGTTATACAAGCTACTAGGAAATCCGAAATGCGTTAGCTTTGAATCATCCTTGAGTACTAACTCTCGCAAATGTCTTGCGTCTGCAGTTACAATCAACGTTCCAATATCAGTAGCTCCACTAAAATTGAGATGCAAACTCTCTAGAATCGGAGCTTTATGGGAAAGCAAAGACTTGCAAACATTCTCTGTAAATGTCTTGGCTATGTGATCACAATAATTAAACTTGAGTACAGGCATCATCTTCCAGAGAATCTGCCATTGTTTAAACAGAACACTCGTGGCCATGGCAGATTTTATAGGAAGTAGAGACAGTATTTGAATAATCAAAGCCTCAGGCAACTCACTGATCATGTCTTCATTCACAACCACTCGATTCTTCTTCATACTTTCGCTGTCTCTTCTGGCTTCTGCTGTCAAAAGCCGACATTAGGGTTTTAGATCGAGGATGATACTGCGGCTGAGAAGATGTGTTTTTGTTTTTTAAAACTAACTAGGTGATCTGCCCGCACCGTGTGCGGGCTATAACATATTTTGTATGATTGATATTTGAGAAATATTGCATATAGTTTTATGAATTTGCATATTATAAACTAAACACTAAATAATGTTGTTATATACACATTTGACAGTTCAAAATAAGTAAAAACTATAAAATATTCCAACAGAACTGTAAACCATTTTAAATGTGAGAACATTTATATATACGATATGGAAACACATACCTTTCCATAAATCGCAAATGGTGTCAAGAACAGAGTTCCTGCGGCTAGTCGGTAAGTGGTGGCGACCATACGGCTACATGTACACATCTTCTTGAACAAAACGTTTACAAAGCTTAGCCCAATTTTGATAATCGACATCATAAGCACAGCTTTCCATAGTTTCGCTTATTTGTATAGAAATAAAGATTTGATGAGGGTATTGTGAAGTAAGGAACGTTTATTTATAAAAATTTCTTTATTTGATCTCCGTTACTAACAAAATTATATTACAAAATTTTCCATAATGAATAGTTAAGAAGTAATGATCTTCTCTGTAGTTAGTCGTGAGTTATTCTCTCTCTAAAACAGAGACTGATTTGACAACAAATTTATTGATAATGACAACTCCTTGGCTCTGTTTTGTTATAATTTTTTGTCAGAGCTTAGTTAAAGTAGGAAGAAAATAAATATCTCAAAGACATGTTCTTGCGTCATATATCATATCAAACTGTTCACATAACATAAGTCACGATTTTTGGAGTATTCAATCACTGGCCGATGACTTTTGTTTTTAACAATTATGTCTTATATAGGTGAAGACTTCTTGGATAAGAAATAAATCATTTGTGTACAGAATGTATAATTGTCACGATTCAACTACTCATCGTGAAATGTTTAATAAGTGGACAAGAAATTAGTCATTTGTTTACAGAATATATATTAGCTTACACATATTCCGGTCATGGATTAAAGACGTTCAATCTAGCATGAAAGAACATTCGTACCTAAACATTGAAAAAACTGTAAAAAAAAACATAATATTGAGCACTTAAAAAAACGTAGATCATAATAAAATAACAAACTTAATAAATTTGAAATAATTAAATATCTTTAGCAAACCATAAAGGACATAAAAGTTTAATATGCTTAGGTATAACAAAAACCACGAAATTAAACAATTCATTGATATTGCTTATTCTGACTTTTTAGTTTTCATCTTCTTGGTCACAGAATGCTGGTTTTGAATCGGATTATCTGGATGGTTTGAACTACTCCTTTCAGACAAAGGTGTTAATGATGAACCTTCATAAATTTCTTCAGAATTTGTAAGCATAAATGACTCCTACAATAAAAAAATCATAGCTGTAAATATTAAGAATTGTTTCATCTGTCATTATATTAGATTATAGATATAAATTAAAAAAACTGAAAGCACTACTTCTGTAAACGTTTGGGTCTCAAAAAGCTTAATCTCATCTTCATCATCACAAAATAACTCAACGGAGATGATAAAAAGATGTGTAGAAAAATTCATTAGATGTTGAAGATTACTTACAAACAGAGATGATAAAAAGATATACTAACCTCAGAAAAACTGTTTGCTTTGTTGTTCATGTACTTTAGTTGTTCAAGAGCATGGACGCTATTAGAATGTGATGTGACAAAGTTCATGAACGGTGAACTACTTGATACTGTAAAGTGATCACTGAATTGCTCAAATAATTGGTAAAGATCTTCTGCTGAGTTCTGCATAAAAATCAATGTACTAAGTCAAAGTTACATAAGAGAAACCAATTTTCCACAAAGTAACTGGCAAAAATCAATATTATTTTACCCGATAGAATGATACAATGTTTCCATATTATACACCGTGAAGAAAGCTGGAAGATGATCAGCGTTTCTTCCTACCTGAGTTATATCCATCAACATCAGAAATCTAATCAACCAAATTAGATAAGATGGAAACACAAAGCTATGAATCTAGTGAGAAGATGCAGTCTTGGGCTTGAATTCTTCCAGCAAATCATCGATGTTCTTCACCAAGTGGGCTGCACTGTCTCTTATCCGAACACTCACCTGAAAATGTCGAGTCCAACAAAACAAATGGTCTTAAAATGTTCAGACAAAACAAATTAAGTAAGCACAAGAAACTCTAAATAAGGAATAAGTCAATAATCAACCTGTCCTGTAGCAGCTTCACTTTCACCCACTACCAGAATGTAGTTATACTGCGCAATCTGAGCTTCTCGCACCTACACACACCACGACCATCATCACTCAAGTCAATGTTGCGAACCACCAGAGCCAACCACAGAACAAATAGCAGAGAACATGAACCACCGAAACTGTTACCTTTTTATCAATCTTTCTGTCTGTTATGTCCGCATCAACATAGTACCCAGCTTCATGAATTCGTTTTTGCACCTGTTTAAATAGACGTGACAAAAGGAAAGCCAGAGATTTGACAATAAGTTGATAAAGAACCACAGGTGCTCACTAAAAGAGTGAAGGCCACGAATGTAACCACTTATGCGTATTCCTCATATTTCTTTGATATAGGGCAAACTATGGCCTGTCAATTGGCAGAAAAGATTCGCTCCAGATCGCATTAAAGGAATTTCTGCCAAGATGACGGATCCTGCCGTAGGTGCCTTCGGACTTAGCCAGAGCCATTCAGCTGCAGAAACCCAAATCATGTGAAATTCAGCTACGATAAAGAGAACTCGATTGGACAATTAAAACCCATACGAAATTAATCGACAATTAACATATGGAATTGTTCCGAACCTCCAGAGCTCGCTATTAGACCTAATCGAATAGCGGAAACGAATGCAAAATCCAAATTCGAGAAAGGCCAAAGAGAGAGAAGAAGAAGAAGAAGGAGACACTTACGGAAATCTTGTGAACAGGAACCTGAAATTTGAAGTAGACATAATCTTCGGGCGGCGAGGAGACGCCTTTCATGGCCGATCGGAAATTTTCAACATCCGATTTTCATTGCATCGTTTGCATCGGTATGTTTTTTTTTTTAATGATGATGTGTCGAGAAATTCCATATTTACTTAGAAAAGATCCAGGTCATATTTACAGGTCATGAATTATTTGCACTAATTTTTGCTATGAAAGTAACAAATCAATTTTTTTCACTATTGTTACTTCCCAATTAATATGAAAGTGGATGTCGCATTACCACAAGCATTAACAATTAAGGAAAAAAGGCTAAAAAAATATATACTTAATTAAAAATGTCAATTCTTCCGAATTAAAGATACACACTTATATTAAAATTTAATGCTTTAGGGCTAGGATTTCGAGGTTATGATTTAAATTTTAGCTTTTAACCTTTAACTAGATGGGCGCGGATTTTGTTTTACAAAAATAATTTGGACCGGTTTCTCAGTAGAAGAATTAATTTTGGTCCACTGTGAAATCTCTTTTGTAGCCTAAATTATATATTTTGACAGCTGCTTAGATTTATTTTTTGTTTGTCCAGAATTTGGGAACGATGATTTTTTTTCTTCTTCCTAAAAAAGCGATTCACTACTCTCAGATCTCCGTCTTCCTCTTTTGTCAACTTTCTCTTATTCTCTCTATTATCATAATCACCATCTATCATCATCAATTCATCATCATCTACGGATCCAAATATCTTCGAGATGATTAAATTATACTATTGTTTCTACTCGAATAATCAGTGGGCTTTCATATCTTATGTCAGTTTTAACTCTGATTCTCTCTTGGAAAGCGACTAACCACGTACATCACGTTAGTTTGATTGGCTTTTTTGATCTGTTGAATTCCTTCTGGGATTTTAGATGCGGATGCATTTATCAGTTGCTTGATTTTGATCTGATTTTTTTCATCTTCTGGTTTCTAAATTTTGAAATCAGTTACCTGTAGTAGAGAGTCTTTCTCTGTTTTTGGAATAAGCCTCAAAACGTACAATACAGATGAGCTTAGACCTGCGCTATTTCCAATTTCAAACTCAATCTTATTCTATTTTTTGTTGTCCGCTTCATGTGGCACTTCTTGAGTTTGTGATGTCTGCAATATAGAATAAGGCCTTGGAGAGTCCTATATGCTCTGCATGAGAATCATAAATAATATTAGAAAATGTTAAATATATGATATTATTGATCATATATGTAATCTAAGTACATCATATTTATTCATTTTTCTTTGATCTTACATTCAGATTTTAGGTTAAACTGGTTTTCAGAAGTGAAATATTGCATCGAGAAAGTTGGTTAGTTTGTTATTTCAGATTTGTAGGTTTGTAGGCACAATTTCCTTTAATACTCCATTAGTTTTTAATAGATTTAGTGGAGTATTAAAGGTTTAAAAATCAAAAATCTTTGGTAAACTAAAGATTTGTAAACGTTTAATAGACAGATAATATCTTTGTAGAAAACCGGTTAATGTGTTTCGATTCTTAAGGATATTCAAATTGTTTTGAAAACTGATGGTTTAGTATTCTTCATGCTAAGACACTAACACATTTGATTACAATTATTTAGTGTAGGTTTTTGGTTAATAGGACAGTGGAAAATAAACACAGATAATGGCTTAGTTAAAGAACTTGATTTAAGTGTGATTGTGAACTAATGTTTTGTTTCTTGTGTGTTGATTGAAGCAGGTACAAAGCCGGTTTAATAAATGGTTCACAATCACAAATAAATTAGCGGATTTTAAATCATGCAGCGTAGGAGTACTATATTAATGTAATCATATATTGTTAGAATCATTTCATTTATTTAGACACTTTAATTGTAATAATGATAATTCATTTATGGCAATTGCTGTAAATAACACAGTTGGTAAAGATAAGTTTCAAAAAATGATATTTTTTAATAGTATAGATTTCTAGAGTTCAATTATATATATAGTACTCTTTATTTTATAAAGAATATCAATTTGACACATCCTCTACCTATTAATTGAGAATGTAGTTTAATGAAAAATGCTAATTTGTTTTAATTTGATTGGTTAAAATCTTTTCTCTATCCTAATTAAATGTGACATAGAAATGATGATGTATAATGATGATGTAATTGTGACATGGCATTTACTAACACATATGGTTTATGACATGGCAAAAAGATTTTTTGTGGTATTTTCATTTATAAAAAATTTAATTAGATGACAAATTTAGTGTACTAATAACTAAATGAATGATTCGCCAGATGCATTATGAATAGTCTAATATTATTATTCATCTATATGAGTAATAGCATATGAATTTTGGGCTGAACGTGATGATTTTAATACATATATATATATATTATAATACTATGGATAATACTATATTATATATATTAAATTTACTATAGCTCTGTCGTGGATCACTGTAACTTTCCATATAGATACACACATATCTATATATATATATTATAATACTATATTCATATGGAATACATGCACATATATTTTCATATATTTCAGTAGGTAAAATTATAATAACAAAATCATATTGATCAAATCGTTTACTTAATAATTCATACTTTTTGTAAAGGCGGTGCTCCATTTATGTGCACATATGTTTTCACATACTTTAGTTGACAAAATTATAATAATAAAATAAGATATTATTGTGATCTTCTGTAGAACATTCAAAATTTTAAAATATTAGTTTAGTTTAAAAACAGTAACAAATATAAATATAAGATTTCGATTTAATGATCCTCTACATTATTTTTCGTAACAAAAGTTGAATATCTTAAAAATCAGCATGCATCTAATGAAAAACCAAAATCATTATCCTCTACATTATTTGAAAAGTTTAATGTCCATTTAATAAAAACTAAAAAGATCCATATAAAATCACGTTCATCCCAAATAACTAATGAAAAAGTTAGATACTCGGATCCTTATATAAGAAAACATCACAACACAATGAGTATCAAACAAATCAAACCCTAACTCAAAGCGCGGGCACGTCAATTCTACCAATCTATTTATCTAAATCGAATATGGCTAAAATGAAACTTGAAGGTTGTATAGACTCCAATCGTAAGTGTAATGAAGCAAGGTTTTATCACTACATTGAATTTCCAAACAAATGGGTTTGGCATTAAAAAATTAAGAAGTGGCTCCCTCGCAACAGAAAAAACAATGTTCCCTACGATATTAGCCTTCCAGAAGTTTCAGAAGAATATGGTGAACTTTTCTACCTTAAAATGTTGCTAAATGTTCAGAGAGGAGCAGTATGTTTAAAAAAATAATAGAACAGTAAACAGAGTTTTATATTCAACCTTCGCTGAAACATGTCTTGCAATAAGGTTAATTGAAGCATTTGATGCTTAAGTGGAGATGGTCTTGCAATTATTTGTAGAGTCTACTTGATAAAATTATAAGTAGAAAAATCGCACATATAAATAGATTGAAACCAACAATGATGGAATCCTTGAAGAAATAATGCTTTAAATTGAGGAAGATTGTAGGAAGACAAAGAAAATGAAAAACGTTTGTTCAAAAAAAAGACAGAGAAGATAAAATTTGCAGCTTGATCCATAAATTCGAAGAAGGTAACCAGTTATCCACGGGTTTGATCCATTTGACCCTCTAACATAACTGGTCAAGTTTTACAAAGTCTGATCATGGAAAAATAAGTTTTGTGTTTTCCAAATTTAATTATTATTTTTTAAATCTGTCTCAAAATATAAATGAACCTTTTGTTATAACAAAATATTTAGTTAAAATTAGTTCATATTTTACTACTTAATTTAAAGTCTTATAATTCAAAACACTGACCTTGAGTTTCATATATTACAAAAAAATTAAAATATTTTAAACGGATTTAGATATTGTATTTAGATAATTATATTTTTAAAATTGTTCATGTCCGCACATGCGTGCGGACCAATATCCTAGTTTCATACAAATCAGGAAAATTATTAAAAATTCTAATTTACTCATTGTTCACACATTAGATAAAATTCTTTCTCTATTTAAAACATTATGTAAATAGAGTCAAAACTGAATTTTTATCTTATGTTCTATATTAAAAATGTAAAGTGACATTTTTTGTAAAACAAAAATGAAACCTTAAAAACACTATTTATGAAATATAAGGAGTATTATTTTATTAATTAAAAATGACTTCTTAATTTCATATAAAATATAAAGTAACTTGTTTAAAAATGGTTTATTTAACAAAAATTTAGTTTTAACCTTAATATATTTATGTGAAAAGTGTCAAAATAACTTTTTTGTGAAACATATGAAGTATGTTCTAAATAATCTTGTAAGTTGTGTTAGTTGTAAGGTTAGTAAAACGGATGTCAATAGCAATTGAATAATCGGGAAAAAAAATTACCGTTATTGAAAAGAAATGATATGTAAGAAACATGATCATGTTTAAATGGCTCGGTAGATATTGTAGTGGGTGGTGTTACTAGTGTAGCATGAGCATGTATGGGCTAATGGGCTTTACATAAATCTCAAATTTGTAGATTACCTAAAATCCAACTAATATTTTTTTAAACCGGAAATTTCGGACCAAATCAGTGACAAAAATTTGAAAAAAGCAAAGAAAAAAATATCAGAATTTTTTACTGTTCATGGATCCCACGTGAAGAGACAGCTCAAATTCCAATCTCGTTACGACGTCGAATAAGACAATTTGTTTTTTTGTCCCTCATCCATCTAATTGGGTCCCACGTTAATTTTTTCCTCTCCTCGATCCGAAAAAAAAAAAAAATAAACACTCCAAAAGCAAAAGTAAAAAAATAAAATTAAAAATAAAATTATCGCACAAGATTCCAGCTAGTGGTGTGGTTCTTCATCTCTTTTCAATCGCTTTCTTTTCCATTCTCCTTTTCTCCTCCTTCCCACTTGCTTTTTTTTTTTTTTCATTCTAAGCTTAAGCTTAAGATGATGAAGAACCCTAAAAATTCAACAATGTAATTTGATTCTTCTTTTGATATTGTTTATAATTTTGTGTTCTTGTTGGTGTGTACTGTGTATCATCAGTGTTTTTGCTTACTTCTGAAGCAAAAAAAAACAAAAAGTTAGGGTTTGGTGACAAATGCCAATGAAGACGAAGAATCCGGATTCGATCCGGGAAGATGAGTGTTTGTTCGCCGTTGAATACGACGGTCCGCCGTTATCTTACGATATCCCTCGCGCTGTTCCGATTAACATGGAGAGAATCCCCGTGGCCGCCGTGGTTTCTCCGGTTTGTATCTCCGATAACATGTCGTTTCCTGTGATTCAGCCGATTATGTCTGTGGATTCGCTGAGCAAGAAGTTTCTGAGAGATATGGTGGTTGTTCCTTCCTCGGTATCTCCGACCTCTGTGATCGGCAATTGCGGAACCAGTGACCTCGAATTGGTCTCCGATTCCACCACTGTTTCGCCCACTTCCGTCATCGTCTTCGAGGAGCAGACGGAGGAAGAAGGCGGCGCGGACTGTGAGCTGAGCAGCTCGAACTGCGAATTATCCGGCGAGCTATCTGAAGAACCGGTTCATCATCAGGAGTTGAGAACTCTAGATTTCTGTGATAGTTTCGAGCAATCTAGGGTTAGTTCAGTGAGGTCAAAGGAAGAGAAAGAGAGCTTAGATTTGAACGAATCGTCTAACCCTTTACCAGATTGGGAATCTAATGAATCAGTCGTGAGTATGGATTATCCATCTTCAAGGGTCACCGGAGATTGCGTCAGTGAAACAAACGGAGATAGCAAGAAGCAACCAGTTGTTACTTTCTTAGGTATCGCTTCCGATGATGGTGGCTTTGAGGAAGAAGACTGTAACCAGAAGCGGGTTCGGGTTGTTCCGGTTAAGAAACAGCCTCAAACCAAAGGGAAGAAAGGTTCTTGTTACAGGTGTTTCAAAGGAAGCCGGTTTACGGAGAAGGAAGTGTGTCTTGTGTGTGATGCCAAGTACTGTAGCAGCTGCGTTCTAAGAGCTATGGGTTCTATGCCTGAAGGAAGGAAATGCGTTACCTGCATCGGGTTTCCGATCGACGAGTCGAAGCGAGGGTGTTTAGGGAAATGCTCTAGGATGCTTAAGAGGCTGCTCAATGATTTGGAGGTGAAACAGATAATGAAGACTGAGAGGTTCTGTGAAGCTAACCAGTTACCGGCTGAGTATGTGTATGTAAATGGACAGCCTTTGTATCCTGAAGAGCTCGTTACACTTCAGACTTGCTCTAATCCTCCAAAGAAGCTAAAACCAGGGGACTATTGGTATGATAAAGTTTCTGGACTTTGGGGAAAGGTGAGTATATATACTGTTTCTTTGAGATTTGTGTTCTTAGTTTCTGGTGTGTTTTAAGAACGCTTATATATATTATATGTTGGGTTTCACAGGAAGGAGAGAAGCCTTATCAGATAATTAGCCCTCATCTGAATGTTGGAGGTCCTATTAGTGCAGAAGCTAGCAACGGAAACACTCAAGTGTTCATAAACGGTCGCGAGATTACAAAAGTGGAGCTAAGAATGCTGCAGGTTGAGATCTTTAAAATATGCAATTCTTGATTTGAAGAGATCTTTTGATGTCATTGATAATTGAAGTTTTTTTTTTCTTCCTCTCTCTCTTTTGCCATTTATTGCAGTTGGCAGGAGTTCAATGTGCAGGTAACCCTCATTTTTGGGTGAACGAGGATGGATCGTATCAAGAAGAAGGACAAAAGAATACTAAGGGATACATATGGGGCAAGGTTTGTTGTTGTTTTTTCTGAAATCTATATTTCATTTATTGCAATTGGCGTTGTCCTCTCTGACAGAAGATTACAAAACTGTGCTCTGCTTTTCAGGCTGGGACCAAGTTACTCTGTGCTGTATTGTCACTTCCTGTTCCATCCAAATCTATTTCGAATGCCTCTGGGGAACTACTCCACAGTGCAAACAGCAGAAGCATATTGGACCACCTTGAGCATAGGACACTGCAAAAGATTCTTTTGGTTGGAAGCAGAGGTTCTGGAACTAGCACAATATTCAAGCAGGTATATGAGCTTCTTCTTATAATTAGGTTTTTAAATATAATTTTATTAGCGTTAGCCGCAAAATCGATAACGCAACTTGAATCACTTTCTCGTTCAGGCAAAGATCCTTTACAAGGACATACCATTCTTGGAGGATGAGCGTGAAAATATAAAGGTGATTATTCAAACGAATGTCTATGGTTATCTCGGTATGCTTCTTGAGGGCCGTGAACGGTTTGAAGAAGAGGCTCTTGGTGTCACGAACACAAAACAGCCTGCCATTGAAGATAGTCCTGCAGATGAAGGTGAATAAATTTCCAGCTCCTACGTGTTCTTGAGTTTTAGTTTCCAGAGAGAAAGTTTGTTTGATTTCTAACGTCTTTATTTGATTTCTATGTACAAAACAGGAGATACTAAAGGCAACATCAAAACCTTGTACTCCATTGGCCCAAGGCTTAAAGCATTTTCCGACTGGCTATTAAAGACTATGGCTGCTGGAAACCTCGGTGTCATTTTCCCTGCAGCTACTCGTGAGTATGCTCCACTGGTTGAAGAGCTATGGAGAGATACAGCGATCCAAGCTACATACAAGCGGAGAAGCGAGCTAGGTCTCCTTCCCAGTGTCGCTAGCTACTTCTTGGAACGGGTAAATAAAAGCTTTTCACTATCTCTCTACTGCCCTCAACTTGAGTTCCATAAAGTATTAATCTTCTAAGAAACTGCTTTCTCGCGTTCTTCAGGCTATCGACGTATTGACACCAGACTACGAGCCATCGGATTTGGATATATTGTATGCAGAGGGAGTCACTTCGTCCAGTGGTCTAGCTTGTCTTGACTTCTCATTCCCACAAACTGCAGCTGAAGAGAATCTTGATCCTTCTGATCATCTTGACTCTTTGCTCAGGTAAGTCTGATTCCTTTTCTAATATACTTTACAAGATTCAAGTCTGGTTCCTAAATAGTTGAAGAAGTTTTCTTTTGGCATTTTTTCTCAGGTACCAGTTAATAAGAGTGCCATCGAGAGGACTCGGCGAAAACTGCAAATGGATAGATATGTTTGAAGACGTTGGGATGGTTGTGTTCGTTGTTTCGATGAGCGACTACGACCAGGTCTCAGAAGACGGAACCAACAAGATGTTACTCACCAAGAAACTCTTCGAGAGCATCATCACTCATCCCATCTTTGAGCACATGGACTTCCTCTTGATACTCAACAAGTACGATCTCTTGGAAGAGAAAGTCGAGCGCGTTCCCCTGACGCGATGCGAGTGGTTCCAAGACTTCAACCCTGTGGTCAGTCGCCACCGGTCCAACAACGGTAACCCAACTTTGGGTCAGCTCGCGTTCCATTACATGGCGGTCAAGTTCAAGCGGTTCTACTCTTCCTTGACCGGTAAAAAGCTGTTTGTTTCTTCGAGCAAGAGCTTGGAACCGAACAGTGTTGATTCTTCGCTGAAGCTAGCTATGGAGATTCTGAAATGGAGTGAGGAGAGAACAAACATTTGCTTGAGTGATTACTCTATGTACAGCAATGAGCCAAGTTCCTTCTCAAATTGATGTTTTCCAGATTCATAAAGAAAAAACAGAGTCTAATGTAAATGGTAACTACTTTTTCTTGTGTATAGATTATTACCACGTAGATTTTTAACAAGTAATCAATTTACAGACCAATCCCTGTTGTAAAAAAACAGAACTGATTCTTCTTCTCTTTATGTTACAATTTGAGTGATGATTGGTTTATACTATCGAAAATGTATCGAACTTGCTCTACTGCACTCAACAAGACGTTCTTCACAATCCAACCTTGTTCTTGCATCTGTTTGTTCAGTTCCATAAAATCATCTCGAGCAGCTCGCTTGCTCCCCTCTGCAAGTAAAGACCAATCTTGTAGCGGCAAGTCGGAAACTGATATGTCCTTCCTCTTGGTTCCAAAGGCTTTACGTATGTAACATGTCTGAAACAAACCACCAAACTCTGTTATGCAATCGAACTATTATGAACTTTAACTAAATTGATGATACTTACCTGTAACAAACTCGTGATAACGTCTACACTGTTGGCTCCTTCACGCAGACAAATAACGATCCCCGGCTATATATATTATACAAAGTGGCAAGGATCAAACGAGAGATTCGTGTGGATATAAGGACATGTAAGTAAACATATATAAAAAAAAGAAAACTCACTTTTGGTCTTCTTCTGAAACCTTGAGATGAAACTTCCATGGTTATGAAGTAACCATCATCATTGCACAGCGATTGCATCGCCAATAGTGATAGTGTCGGAATCTGAGCCTTTGGATCTAAGCACCCGATTCTGATGGGCCAAACCCTTTTGCTATCTACAAACAAAACATGAATCATTCAGCTTTTTAACCAGCAACACGCATTAAGTGAACAGTATTGAGAGCTTTTTGTTTTTTTTTCACCTTTGCTTCCTAAAAGATCAATTCCTTCCTCTTCGCTCACATCAGCAGGTGAAGGTACTCGCCTGGATTCAATCCATGTTTCCAGAATGATCTCAAGCCTATCCTGATAAGAAAAATGTAAAAATTCAAACTTATAACAAAACAGAGTAGTCTTAGTTGTTCTGGTCTATCACCGAGATAAGAAGTAGCCACCTTGGTTAAAGTTTGAAGATTGATATGCTTGAGCCCTTGATAAATGCCGAGGAGATCCATCGTGGTGAAAATCGGATAAAGAACAAAAGGTAGACTTGCCTGAAGTCTAAGCACATTTAAGCAAGTCAGGAGACTCTGCAACAATCTCGCGAGTGAAATTACATTAAAAAGTACTAAAATCATCTAAACCTTTGGTTGTTTTGGAACAGCATATTAAGAAGAACAGCGAGTAGGAGACCAAGGTTATCAAAACACACTGTTTGAATCTGAAAAAAAACCACAACCAAAGTCAGCTCGTGTAAGAGAAGGTAATGACAGAGAAAACTTGAGAGCCGGTTTCAGAAAGAAACCTGTGCCTTTGCAGAGACTTCACCGAGGTTATCTGCTACAGCAAAGCTTCGATGTACAGCTGACTACAAATGGCGAAACATCAGTTGTCAAAAAACTCTAAACAACTCAAGAGGGAAAATCAATAATACGAAACCTTACACTGGTTGCTAAGTAACACGACAGGCTAATCTGTTTAGCGATGTTGGCAATGGAAGCTAGCAGAAGGAAGTACTGTGGGAATAGTGGAGTCATTAACTCAACTCCAATGCTCAGACTGAAGAGTACAGACGTCGAGAACCTAACTCTCTATGACCAAAAAATTGAAGTATAAGTAACAAAGTTCTCCTCCAGAAGCAAGACTTCAAATTTAGTGTTTCAAGAACTACATATTCAATCTACAATTTTGGATGAATATAGCTCCACAAAGTCAATGTACCTTCAAATTAGTGTCAAAAGCAGAAGCAAGACTTGCAGTGTATATACATCTACTTAACCGTCCAAGCCCATCTTTCAGTATCCAATTGAAAGCAGCGGATGAAGCAAGTGACCGAGACTGTCCAATACCTATGGCTCGAAACATCGCCTGAATCCACAAAAAACAATCAAACATCTGCTGATTTCAGTTTAATTCCAATTTTACGTCTTGAATTCATGATGCTAAGCAGTAAGCTTTGTTCACCTGAGTGGCAAGAACCTGTAGAGCAGAGCTGAAAACTCTGTGCAAGAACTTCCATTTCACATAGCTTATATAATTTTCACTGACTTGCTTCGGTATGAAGAAGTCTTTTGCAGCGGAAGATGAAAGTCTTATCAGTTTCGAGAAGCCGTCGTCGAGGCCAAGGGCTGAAAACGGCGCCGTATCATCATCATCATCATCATCTTCATCGACCAACTCCAAGGAACCTCCTTTGAGTAAGTATCTAGAAACTCTGCCAGACCTTTTGATTACAATCGGAAGACGACGAGCTGCGTTACTGGGCACGGCGAGTAGTTCCTCTTTCGAAACTCCTTCTTGCTCGAAATCAATGGAAGTTCTCAGAGACTTGTTGGCGATATCTGCGGAATTTCTCGGAGAAAATTGGGGGAAACTGAAGATTCGATACTGGGTTGCCTTTGATTTACATGGGTTTACATAAAGACGAGAGCTTGGATTATACTGCAGAGATGAATGCATCAGAGTTCTTGGGGATATATTATAATATACTCCGGCAAGTTCCGATTGTGCCTCGTTTTTCTCCGGCAGGTTTAGGGTTTAACATCAGAAATTGTGAAATATCAGAGGTTAGCGCGTGGGAATGAGTCATTTGGTTCTGCGAGTGGGATCCATGAAGGTATTTGGTTTCTCGCAAGGCAGAGAGAAAGACGTTGATTACCTTTAATTACCTATAAATACCTATAATTAAGTAAGAGGATTTTGATATTTAGGGACAAGCAGTTCATAAACATCAAAATCATCACCGTCTACCAAAACAACATAAACTCACATGAGCTTAAGCAAGCTCCAAGCCACATTCAAATTAAAATAACTTGCCACTTATGCAAAAAATATATATATATTAGACCCTCTAACAAAAGAGTTTATACTAAATTTTAATTTTATGAGCTATCTAACATAAAAATGTATACAAAATTTAAAAAATTTGGATTTTTTTTTTATAAATTTTTCATTAAAAAATATTATGTTCTTTCTCGATTTGTTTTGAACTTTCTTTCTTTTTTTTTAACTAAAATAATGAGTTCAATAAGGGAGATAAATCTGGCGAGAGATCAAAATCTTTGAGTAAAAAGATATCGTATATGTATAACACATTTTTCTAGATTTATTTATGATAGGGTTGTTTTGCTCATTATTGTTGTAAGTTCATATGTTGCATTTTGGTATGTCTTCTTGAGTTGAAAGAGCCAAACAAAATTAGATATGCCAGTCATGCAAAAGAATAATAAGATTCAGATTCGAGGTGGTTTTGAAGCACAAAGTTGAAACTTACATTAATCAAATACTTCTTTGCGTTTTTCTATTTGATCAACTCCATCATTTTTTTTTTACCAAAAGTTTAATAAATCCTTTGAAAGTAAACATAATGCTTTAGACTTATGCAGAGTTTTTATCATTGAAATGTATCCGTCCTCTGAATCTGATTCATCTTCTGAATCTGATTCATAAAAACCAAAATTTGTGCAAAATTTTTGGCGCAGGCTCATGTTTTTTTTTTCTCAATTTATCTTATGACAATGAGTAAATCTATTTCTAACATACTTTATCCTCATGACAATGAGTAAATCTATTTATAGCAAATATTCCTATAGTTTCTCTAGTTATAAGATCATTATTATTTGGATTGTGAAAATATATAAATCTCTAATGGTTATAATTTTAAGATCTTTAATTTATGATTTTAAGCAAATATTTATCATGGTTAAAATCATAAAATCATCTAAACTTAAACAAAAATGAGAAGAAGTAGTAAAATAATACTGACAAATTAAAACAGAACTGGTTGGAGGCTCTTGACGGTTGGGAGATTCAAGTTTAAGCAAAGAGTCATAAGTTGAATCTTTTGTAGGAACTCAAAAACATAGAAAGAACAAAACTTTCTACAGGTCAAATTAGTTTACCAAATTGGGTTGCCAAATAAACTTAATTCAATTTTCGAATATCTATAACTTAATGAGAGTTTTGGTGTGAGAGCAAATGCTTAAAGTCTGTTTCCCTTCTCCAAAAGTGGAATCTTTGGCCAAACAATGTTCTGCTTTCCAAATTACAAGAATTGTCTTCCTATCTCATCATATTCCTAACAACTGAAACAGAGCAAAACGAAGAAAAAAACTATATAGCAAATCCTCAATTCACAGTTTTACTTTTACCCTCCTTTTCATTTCCACTAGAATGTTAGTGGCTCAATCATTATCAAGAAAAGGCGAGTTCTTGATGCAGCAGTCAAGCCTCTCTCTGAGTCATTTTTCAAAAAAGTTTCAACCTTTTGTTTCCACCCATCACGTCTCTGAATCTTCTTCAGCTTCTTCTTCAACTACAGTCGGAAGCGAGCCTTCTCTGCTGAAACCAGGGTTTAAGAACTTTGCTACAAAAGCCCAAAGCTTATAAACATCTTCAAAGTTTGTCAGAAAGCTGAGAGAAGCTGTGACAACCTCAAATCTCACAAACCCGTTTCTCCCGCCTCGCTTGTTACCAGCTTCCCTCTGCAGATGCAAAGAGCTGTCTTCTTTAATCCTAGCGCTGCCTCCACGATGATTCCTTGGGATATCCATTATCTTTATGTGACTCAAGATACCAATACCAAGAGACACACCTTCTCTCTCAGCGAGTTTCAGAACAACCTCTGGACTCACAAAGCCTCTGCTTTTGTCTTTCACATTGAAAGCAACCGCTGCTCCTCTCTCGTACTTTATCTTGGGACCATATATCTGCACAAGATTCATCGCTCTGCTGCTACCACCGTCGCCGCCTGGTTCAGGCACTTTCAGTTGCAGCAAAGAGATCACAAGCCAGTTAATCAGAAACCTGAGTCTACTTGTGGTTTTACTAAGGCCTAACATATTCACATGATCGATATGGCTGCAAACAATCTCCGGTTCCCTTCTGTCCCAATCTTCCTCATTCTGGTTCTCGCCATCGCTTTCGTCATAGACACAGGCCAGAGAAGCTTCACCCTGGTCTTGGTCAAGACTATGACTCACTCTGTCCATGTTAAACGAAACGCGTGTTCCTCTGCTCGGTTGTTCATCTTCAACACCAAGAAGCCTCCCACCAGCACCTCTTCTTCCCAATAACCTAAACTCTCCTTCAGTCTCTCTTCTAATCGCGTTCTCTCTCATATCCGAGGAAACCTTGGAGCTCGAGCCATTCGATCCGAAACCAGACCCTGCTCGATACACAAAGTTGTTTTCTTCCTGTATCTCTTGCATTTGGAGATTATTATTAGAGCTCCTCCGTGACGGCGTTGAGTTTGTCTCCTGAGTACTACTAACTGACATAACCGCAGCATCAAACGAGAGGACATCTTTACCATCATACATAGGACTCTTTGCTAACGGTTTCGGCGACTGCCGTTTGCTGGTGAACCAAAACGGCGGCAACGGAGACGCCTTGTGACCCGCACGGTCGGAACCGAGAGGACTCTGACCCAAATCGATCCAGAACGAGTTATCAGACGACTCATCTTCACTAAAAGCAGGGCTTTTCATCAGTTCTCCGACCGAAACGCTCTCGTTTTCTTCGAATATGGTACTACTAGTCCCGTCTCTGTCAGAGATGTTATCTTCCAAGAGCTCTGCTTCAAACACATCTCTCACTTGAGCTGATGTGTATGCACCGGAGAAAACCGGCATCTGAGCTCCTTTCCGAGCAGTTTCCGAGGTGGCTTCAGCCTTATAACCATTCGTACCATCTTCAAGACCAACCAATCCGTCCAAGCCATCAATCGAATCGCTGAGATATAACGGATACTGAGGCGTGATCTTCACCATCCCTGATCCTGTTTTCCCAGACTGACTCTGAAGATTACCCATCACAGACTTCTTGATCAACAAACAGCCAAAACCCGTGGGATCATGACCAAACACTTTGTAGAACGAGGTGACGATAAACTCTGGTCGAAACAACGATAGCCCGAGAGAGTCCATGTCTTTGGGACCTAAAGAGCCAGCATCAAGCAACACATGCCAGTTGTTCTGCTGAGCCAGAGCCATCCACTGGTAAGAGTACTTCGAGCCCGTGACTCGAGACTGCGCAGGGAACACAAACAGCCCAACAGCTGAATCTTTCTTCTTCCTCTTCTTGTGAGACAAACGCTTCTTCAAATCAGTCGAACACAGCTTCAAGCTCGGCCACTTGAACCACGCGTTGTAAGCTTTAGCCCCTCTCTCCCTCGCGGTCTGAGCCATCCAGTTCACAGACTGGCTCTCGTGGTCGAACATCGTCAAGAGCCGCTTGTTCGTGTGGAAAGGGTAAGAATCCGCAAGCAGCCTAAACGCAGAGCCTCTGCTCTCGGTGAAAACAAGACCGTACTCACTCTCAGGGATGTTGAGATAATTCATTATCCTCGTCTTGAGATCGTGTTCCACGGTTCCACTCTCAGCTCCGCCGTAAAGCGCATGGTTACTCAAATTCGCAGTGATCTCAGAGACGCTAAACGTACAAGAGTCCCAATAGTGCAGAGTCTGAAGATACGAGAACAACCCAAATCCGCAGTAATCGAGACATACCTTGGAATCTGACAAGTGAGCATACTCATCAGATCTCAGCTGATCGATTTTCTCGGAAGTCTCGTACTTTGGGTACATTGTGAGGAACTTGTTGAAAGCTTCGAGGAGCTGAGGAATGGCGTCTTCGGACTCGAAATCGCGTTCCGCGGCTAAAGCGGTCGCGCGCAGGAACTCGCGTTGCGCGTGGAGCCTAGCCAGGGATCTAGACCGGCCCAAGCTCTCGTCTTCCTGATTCTCTTTCTCCATGTCTTGGGATTTGAAGAGCGACCCGTTCTCGGACGCTTCTTCGAGAGCTTCCCTGAGCTTATCCTCGTACAGTTTCCGAAGCATCGAAGCTTTTCTTCTGACATCGATTGGTGAATCGGAGCCATTGTCTCTCCTCATGCTCTTGCTCTTATCTAAGATCAGAGCAGCACAGTGGTGAATTTGCTTCCACAGAGGAAAATGCATCAATCTTCTTTCAGCGAGAAAAAAACCAGAATTGAGAGAGATTTAGCAGAAGATGGAAACAAAAAGAAAGGATTTTTCTTTTTCTTCTAGCCCATACGAAAAACCCTAAAATGAACGAATTGGAGAAGATCTTGAAACAGATCAAGAGTGCCTCTAAAAACGGAAACTTTCAGTGAACCCAGAAATTACAAAATTCCAAATTAGAAAAAAAAAAAGATTAAACGAATTTCACGGGAGAAAAGAAACTAAAAAATGAACAGAATTTCAAATCCAAAAACCCCTAGAAGAAGATAAAAACAGATCCCGAAATTGTGTATGAAAAATCCCAGAAAATAAACAATATGTTTGAAGATGAATTTGTGAAGAAAACATTCAAAAGAAAGAAGCTTTTTTTGTGTGTGTGTGTGTTTATGTTTTTTGGAAGATTAGATAATAAATGCAAAGCTGACTCCTTTCACCACCAATCTCTCGTTTCATTTACTACAACACTCTCTCTCTCTCTCTCTACTCAGTGGCTTCTTCTCTCTCTAGCCTTCCTTTACAGTTCAGGTCAAAAAAGGAATTGACTTTTCTCACAGAAGCAGAGAGAGAGTAGTGGTGGCGTTAGGGCTTTCAGCTAATTGTTTCAATTTCTGTAATCATTTTACGATTATAAAACAAAATTTAATCAGAGAAAAACAAAACAAAAATGGTATTTTTTTACTTTAATATTACTAAAAACATAATTTTGTCTTATTTGTTCCCTTGAAAACCGTATGAATTAGTCAACTCTGCCAGTATAGGAAAAAGGTAATTCGTTTTGTGAAAAGAAAATAATAATTACTGCCCACATTTAGGATAATTGTTCTTTTTTTTTTTGCTTAGGAGTATAAATATTGTTAACCCTTTCAAATATATTGTTATAGTCAATTTAAGATATGTTTGGTGAGCAGACCAAATGTATATGCGTATTAAATATTTTAGGTTGAGAACCGTGGGAAGATTCTTGCTCCTTTTAGACTCCACATTTAAGAAAAAAAGGATTTGCAGAATATTTATCCAATTAACTCCTTTGCATTTATAATGGAATTAATAGATTAAAAGAAGCAAAATCATCCTTTAATGGAGAATGTCACAACTCGTTTAGGAAACAAGTTTAAACAAAGCGTCTTGCAAGGATTCTAAGTTGATCCGTTAGAAACAAAAGAGGTTAGATTTTCAAAGAGCTTGGACATGTTCAAGCAACCAAAAAACATAACAGAGATCGAAATGTCAGAGAGAGAGAGAGAGAGAGAGAGCTTAAAGATTTTCCTCTGAAACGTCTTCTAAAGCCCACTTGGGAGGATCCTTCGACGCTGCCTTAATCTTGCACCAATGCTATCTGGATTAGGTTCGAGAGATGCTTTCCTCTTACTCCTTTTCTCTTGAGTACTCCCTGAGTCAATGGGTTCGAGAGATGCTTTCCTCTTACTTTTCGTTTCTTGAGTATTCCCTGAGTTACCACTGGTCTCTGTCTCATCGCTGAGGACCTGAACATCGACCCCAAGAAGAGTCTGGCTTTCCCCATTAAGGAAGTAACCATTCGAGATATGTTCTGTCCTTTCTTGAACTATTGGAAGATCATCATGTTCTTGTTTATCCTGCTTTGTCAGCTCAAGATCACTCAAGACCTGAACATCAACCCATGGAGTTTGATCATCCTCAAGAGACTGGTTTTCCCCAGGAAGCAAGATACTATCTGGTCTTGTAACCAAATCCGAGTTTTGGACCGTCGTTTCTTGAACCGGATCATCACCAATGTGAGCACATGAGTGTTCTTGTTTATCCTGTTTTGGCGGCTCGAGATAACCAATGCCATGATCGTCAACAAATAAAGTTTGATGATCATCAACAAATAAAGTTTGATGATCATCCACAGAAGGCAAGAAGAAGCTAAGTGACCTTTTCGCTGAGTTCGGAGCCTCCTTTGTGTTTTCATCTTCCTCTTTCATCAATGAATCGCCATTCTTCATTTCCATATTCTGAACCTTTGGTACTTGCTCAGAGAGATCATCAGCAGCAGCAATCTGAGGAAGTGGTTTAGCTTCTTGAAACGAAAGTGATCTCTTTGCAGAAGCTTGGTTCGGGGTGGCATCATCATCATCTTCATCAGCGGTTTCCGCGCGTTTAGTTTGAATCAGGTAATGCGCAACAGACTTGTACCCGAGTTTAGCAATCTGGAAACAATCCAAAGAAGGAAACAATCCAAATAAAGAAATCTTCAGCTCTTGGATTTCTATTCAAAAGACAGAAAAAACAAACAAGATCAATCATCCAAATAACGCACCCTTCTGTAGACCGGACCAGTAGGAACCCATCCTTTATGATTCCTGCACAAACTGCAGTTGCAAATCCCGCGACAAACGGGGCAAGTCCAGTTCGGATTCTCCAGAGCTTCGAGCACATGTTCACCATATCTATATTCATCAACACAATAAAACACATTCAATACACAACAACAAAAGCTTCCACAGTGCTAGTGATCTTACACAAATGTGCTTGACAAGAAGATAAAGGAGAGAGTACACTCACCTCATGAACAAACAATCTCCACAGAATTGTCCTTGGACCATGTCACATTCACTGCACTGTGTGCGATGACCAAGCGTTTTCTGCCTGTAAAACACACACACACTTAAGCATTAAGCAATTTATTAAATCCTCTCATGAGTTTTGGTTTACATATCTTAATCTTGGATTCAGGTTTCTGTGTAAAGTGGGACTAAAACACACACACTAAAGCACTAAGCAGTTTCGTTTCACAGATTTGAAACATCAAATTCTCTCTTTTATGGCTTTATCTGAATATTGGATTGTAAAGAGGGACTAAAACACACACACTGAAGCACTAAGCAACTTCATTTCACAGATTTGAAACATCAAGTTCTCTCTTTTATGGCTTTATTTGAATCTTGGATTCAGGTTTCTGTGTAAAGACAGACTAAAACACACACACACTCAAGCATTGAGCAAATTTCGTTTCACAGATTTGAAACATCCAAGTTCTCTCTTTTATGGCTTTTATCTAAATCTTATTAGTGAAGAGAGACTATAACCTGCATTGGTGACAAGTTTTGCCATTGACCGGATCATAAATCCGTTTTCCATCCTTGTCGTAGCCATCAACAAACAAGGTCCAGCTCCGTTCTGTGTTCCCAAGCAGCTTCTCGTGTTCCTCTGTGTAAACCTCGAGCCTTGAGCCTTCACCAATCATCACACACTCTCTCTTAGATTTGTTGCCCTTCTTATAGACGCCATCAGTGTAGACAACAGGAGTTGTATTCTCCAACCTGACGAAATGAAATAAGAGGAAATCAAAAACCCTAATTTCGACTCATAAAACCCCCTTTCAAACAGAGATACCGTAAACCCTAATCTCTACTGAAAACCCCAAATTCCTCTTTCAAACCCTAATCTTTCAAATAGAGACGGAGAAATGGAGCGATTACCGAGAAGATCGCCGGGAAGGCTGAGTCGGAGGAGTCGATTTCTGACCCGGATTGGAGTTACCGTAAGGTCTTTTGACGGGTCGGGTCTCCGATTTGAGTTTTCGGGCGAGATTTAAGATGCCGAGGTTTTGCATCCTCTGAAGATTCTCCTTGATCCTCTCTTCTCTGCATTGTTCGTAGAGAGAGACCTTTGGTTTTCCTTTTACTTCTGGGTTAGGGTTTGATTTGGCCATTGAAGCTTCCGTAGTTCCAGTTCTCATGGCGAGCATAGTGATGACGATGATGATTCTCACTGGTTTCAGATTCCAGAGATCTCCTTCTCTCTATCACTGCTCTGAAAAAATATTAATCTTTTTAAAGATGAGAGTTTTAGTATTTATCCAAAAAAAAGAGATTTTTAGTGGGATGTCACAGCAACGGTCGGATTTTTATTTGAAAATGTGCAGAGAATTGGGGATTGTGTTGGAATACTCTTCTGATTTGATGGGACTTATTATTTTTTAGGAAAAGTATTTTTTTGTGTTTTCCTAATAATTGTGCAATAAAGTTAATAATAGTTGTAAAATTTTCAAAAATTTTTAAAAATATCACCTATAAAAAGAAAATAATCCATACTTTCTGAAAATTAGTAGCTAATTTCCAAAATGAATAATAAAGTTAGACTTTTGAGTGATCTTGCAAAAAAAAAAACTTATTAAGTCACACCTTCTTGACCAAATTATCACCTAATTTCTTTGTAGGAACAATTTCTTTTATCAATGTACGTATAATTTTCACTCATTAAGTTTACATATACGAACTTTTTTCAAAAAAAAATAAAACATAATTTGTATTTTGGCTTTAAAGTGTAGTAATAAAGCCTATTATATAGGTGCTATATAGAGTACCACTAATTACTTTTCTTCTCGAAAATTGATATTTTTTAAATTCTTGTCCAACAAATTTGAACTACTTGTATTAGTTGTAACTCTTTAAGTCCGGAGATCTCAAGCGTCCAACGAATCAAAGGCCGGGTTGTTAATTTCTCACAAGCAAAAAGAAAAATTAGTCCACGTTGATGAACAACCACTTGAAAAATCTTCATTTACATCTACTAAATTCGTCAAACCAAATTCAACTCAACTAATCATAAAACACAATCTCACAAGTTTCCCCTTTTATCTCAAACCACTTCTTTATTATATAAATCTCAAACAAGTACACCCAAAATTTCTCAAGAATCGAGAGCTTCTTCTAGTTCAAGAAGAGACATGGACATGACTCTCTTCTCCTTCTTCTTCATCTCCATTTCGTTAACTCTCACTGCTTTGGTGGAATCTGCTGGTCGTGGAGTTAACAATAATAACAATGGTGGATTAGGAGCTTCTTTCATATTTGGAGATTCTCTAGTTGATGCCGGTAACAACAATTATCTACCGACCTTGTCTAGGGCTAATATGAAACCTAACGGTATCGATTTCAAACCTTCCGGAGGAAATCCTACCGGCCGGTTCACCAATGGCCGAACCATCGGTGACATCGTTGGTACGTACAAAAATCGAAAATACTGTCAATATGTACATCCATCTATATACTTAAAATCCTTGTATAGTAAAATGATATGTGATATATACACATCACTAGTCTTAGATATGATATTCAAAACATTTATTTGATCTATACATGTTAGATTTTAATTTACAGCAAGAAGCTAGTCAAGGCCAAGATCATATAATTATATAGTATTTTAAAGTATTATAATTTTAAGTTTAAGCAGAATAAAAAGCCACCAATGTTGTAGAAAAAACAATTTTTTTTGGTTGAATAAATATAATATTCATAATTTTTTTTTAAAATAAAGATAATTAAACGATTTAATTTTCTGATATTTCAGGTGAAGAACTCGGATCAGCCAACTATGCAATCCCATTCTTAGCACCAAATGCTACCGGGAAAGCTTTATTAGCCGGTGTGAATTACGCATCTGGAGGAGGAGGAATCATGAATGCAACTGGAAGAATATTTGTACGTACCAAACTAATTTTAATCATTTGGATTTTTATAAAAAAAATGTCTTAAAACTCTATTTAGAGCGAGTTCTTAATTTTTTTGTTTATTTTACTATTTGGTTAGGTGAATAGATTAGGTATGGATGTACAAGTTGATTTCTTCAACACGACAAGGAAACAATTCGATGATCTACTTGGGAAAGATAAAGCAAAAGAGTATATAAGCAAGAAATCGATATTCTCAATCACAATAGGAGCAAACGATTTCCTCAACAACTATCTATTCCCACTTCTCTCCGTTGGAACACGTTTCACTCAAACTCCTGATAATTTTATCGACGACATGCTCGATCATCTACGTGACCAACTCACCGTAAGCAACAAATGTTAATTCTCATTGATTTTCATATCATATGTTATAATCGAATTTATATGATTGTGTAATGCAGAGGTTGTACAATTTGGACGCGAGGAAGTTTGTGATCGGGAATGTTGGACCGATAGGATGCATACCGTATCAGAAAACGATTAATCAGTTAAAAGAAGACGAGTGTGTGGATTTGGCTAATAAGCTAGCGAATCAATACAATATTCGATTAAAGAGTTTGCTTGAGGAACTAAACAAGAAACTCCCCGGAGCAATGTTCGTCCACGCCAACGTCTATGATCTCGTGATGGAACTCATTACTAACTACAAACAATACGGTAATATATATTTTCTTCAACTTCTACAATTCAAGAACGTATACTATACTAGATATACACACGTTTTCACGTTGAGTTAGTGCATAATTGTGAGTATATATGATGGTTGTAGGGTTTATAAGCGCGACTAAAGCTTGTTGTGGTAATGGAGGACAATTCGCGGGTATAATACCGTGTGGACCCACTTCAAGTATGTGTGAGGAAAGAGATAAGTATGTGTTTTGGGATCCTTATCATCCGAGTGAAGCAGCGAATGTTATCATCGCGAAGCAATTGTTATATGGTGATGTAAAAGTTATATCTCCTGTTAATCTCAGTAAACTTAGAGATATGTGAAATTTGAATTGTTTGTTGAACAAATTTAAGTGTGTATCCTTTGGAGATATGAAAGACTTGTTACTTTCATGCATTTACGTTTGTTATACGCAAAGTTAAAGAATCGATCTTTGTATGCATTGTATGTGTTGCCGTGTATAATTGTAGTGAAAATGCCTTTTGTTTTGTTAAGATGTGATTTATGTCAGCTTCCTGGTTCTTCTTCTCCATTGCCTCCAAAACAAGAATCAACTAACTTCTGGTTCTTCTTCTCCATTGCCTCCTTTTCATGTCAGCTTCCGAGTTCTCTGGGATCCCAACTTTGCATTGACTGTTAGTTTTAAGCCTGTAGAGTTCATGGAGTTGGATTGTTGGTAGACATAACTATCTGTTAGAGCATAATAAATCTCTACAAACGTTTTGTGGATGACAATGCTAAAAATACTATATGATCATTTTTTTTTTTTATTATGGCAAGTTTGGACCAACTTTACATTGACTGTTAGCTTTACGTCGTTAGGGGTTTATGGAGTTAGTTGGTTGATTGGATAGAATCTTATGATGAATATGATATTTTTTTTTTTACTATTTTGGAGTGTTTTTTAAAAGAAAATCTAAACGGCAAGACAAAAAGTTGTTATTAGCTTTTGAGTGATTCTATTTGCACTTCCGATGTTGAAGAGATTTAACAGGTAAACCTGTGATATAGATTGACTTTATTATAGTGAATCTGTGATACATTTGGAGCATATGATTTCAGCATTTCCCTGTTTATTTATGCATATCTATCTGCGATTTCCAAGAGATGAGCACAGAGTTCTTGAGGCTTGGAGAACATTGGCATATGATCTGCATCTCTGATCTCTATCACTTCTTTTGGAGGAAAGTTGCTGCTTATCCAACGCTGGTATTCATCAGATACTATATTATCCTCTCCACATATGATATAAATACGTGTAACCGATCCATACCCTTCCTCACTAAAGCTTCTTGTCTCTGCAAGATTGTCTGTAATTAACGGGTTTACCCTCGCCAACATCTTCGCCAGTTCAAGATCCTAACACATGACAAAAATCAATCCCACTTATGAGCTTAAAAAGAGAGAGATTTGATTAGGCTTGGAGTCTTACTTCAACTGGAGACAACTGATAAAATTTCTCAGCCAAGAACTTTGGTCCAAAGAGAATACTCTGTAGAGGACAATCAGGTGTCCCGTAACGACCAAACACCGTGTCCAAGAACTCTTCTGGTGGAATGCTTCTGACCAACTGCCAGATTTCACTCAAGATATCAGAATCATTTGAAGTAATTGTTCCGAATGCTTCTTACTTATGTACCTTTTCAACAACGTAAGCAGGAGGGTTTTTGGTGTCGGGCATGGAAGATGTCAAGAAGACAATAGCAGCGATCTTACAAGGGAACATGTCTGCAGCGAGAGCAGCGGGTACGCCTCCCGCGCTATGAGCGACAAGAACCACCTTTTCGTCTGAGGCAAGCGAGTCCATAACCTCTAGCAACGGCTTAGAGTAATCCTCTAGCGTCTGAATCTCTTCCACTCTGGTCGTGTTGATACCCGATGCAGCCAGATCAATTGCAGAGACACAATGTCCTGCAGCCTCTAGCTTTGTTTTCACCTTGTACCAACTCCAAGCGCCGTGGCAGCCTAAATGGACTAGCACAAAGTGTTTCTGGTTCCTCTTCTCCATTGCCTTCTTGCTTGTTTTTTGCAGTTTCTTGGTTTCAACACTTATATCACTACAAGAAAACAGCAAAATTTGCGACGGCGAATGGTGGTCGCAATTTGCGACGCGTTTGCGACGGATTTGCCAAAGAAAAATAGTGTCTCGCTAATCCGTCGCAAATTGCGACATCAATAGCCCGTCGCAAACCGACCGCAGCTTTGCAACGACATTGCGACGAACAAACAAGGCCGTCGCAAAATACATCGCAATTTGCGACAGGAAAGAAATTCTGTCGCAACTTTGCGACCAACTTGCGACGAATTTGCGTGGATACTCAAAGTAGGTGAACCACGTTTTACTCCCTTCCCACCGGCCTAAGTAGTTAGGTACGGAGTCGCAAATCAGTCGGTTCTGTGTCACAAATCCGTCGCAAATTGCTCGCAATATATTATGATGTCGCAAATCTGTCGCATTCGTCTGTTGCTAGGCCGTCGCAAAATTTCTGAATGTCTATAAATAACCTTCGGGAGTTAGTGAAACAATCACAACAGAAAGAAAGAAAGAAAGAAAGAAAGAAAGAAAGAAAGAAAGAAAGAAAGAAAGAAAAAAGAGAAAGAAAAAAATAAAGAAAAAAATCTTATAGTTTTCAAAAAATAAGAAAATGATAGATTTTAAAAAAGAGAGAAAAGAGAAGTGAGAAATTAATATTGAGAGAATGTCTTCAGAGCATAGCATATATGCGTTACGATCGTGGATGTACAATCATCGAGATCCGGAGACCGGCGAGGTGACGAAAGAGTTTAGGGATGGGTTTCGAGCATTCTTATATCAGACGACAAACCAATCATTTGCAAGGGAAAACGGTAAAATATTCTGTCCATGTAGGAAGTGCAAGAATGTGCCATATTTAGAAATTGATACCGTGAAGAAGCATGTATATAATAGAGGATTTATGCCGAACTATTATCTATGGTTTTTGCATGGGGAAGATAGTAGTGTTGCTACGGTTGGAAGTAGTAGTATGGATCAGAGTTTAGAACAGCCCAATTATAATGTTGATTATGAACATTATGGGCAAAATATGTTTGGAAATGTAGATGAAGGGTATCAACAAGGGAATAGGTTTCATGATATGGTTGTGGATGCAATGCATGAAGCTCCAGCAACCTCATTTGTTGATAATATTAGAGAAGAACCCAACGTAGATGCAAAAAGGTTTTATGATATGTTAGATGCTGCTAATGAGCCTATCTACGATGGATGTAGAGAAGGGCAGTCGAAACTGTCATTGGCATCTAGGATGATGACAATTAAAACTGATAATAATCTCTCTGAGGTTTGCATGGATTCGTGGGCTCAACTTTTCAAAGAGTATCTACCGGCTGATAATCTTTCTGCTGAGAATTATTATGAAATACAGAGGTTGGTTGCGGGTCTTGGCTTACCATCAGAAATGATTGATGTATGCATTGACAATTGCATGATATTCTGGAAAGACGACGACAAGCTGCAGGAATGTCGATTTTGTGGGAAGCCGAGATATCAAGAAACTACTGGAAGAACTCGGGTTCCATACCAACGTATGTGGTACCTGCCAATCACTGAAAGATTGAAGCGGTTATACCACTCAGAAAGGACGGCGTCAGCAATGAGATGGCATGCAGAACATTCCACAGAGGATGGAGAGGTTACACATCCTTCAGATGCAAATGCGTGGAAGCACTTTCAGACGGTATATTTAGACTTTGCTAGTGAGGTTAGAAATGTCTACCTTGGTTTATGTACTGATGGATTTACTCCATTTGATATGTCTGGGAGACAATATTCTCTATGGCCTGTCATCTTGACACCATACAATCTTCCTCCCGATATGTGCATGCAAAGAGATTTTTTGTTCATGAGTATTCTAGTTCCTGGTCCTAAGCATCCAAAGCGCGCACTTGATGTGTTTTTACAGCCTCTGATTCATGAGTTGAAACAGTTATGGCATTTCGGTGTTCGCACATTTGACAACTCGCAGCAACGGAACTTCAACATGCGTGCAGTGTTATTGTGGACTATCAGTGACTTTCCAGCATATGGAATGTTGTCAGGGTGGACTACGCATGGAAGATTATCTTGTCCATATTGTCTGGATAGTTCAGATGCGTTTCAACTAAAGAATGGAAGAAAGCCATGTTGGTTTGATTGTCATCGTAGATTTCTGCCGGTGAGTCATACATACCGGAACAACAAGAGGTTGTTTAGGAGGAACAAGGTTGTGCGTATCCCTCCCCCCGTTTATCCAGCAGGCAATGAATTGTATGAGCAAATTGAATACTATGGTGCGCAGGAAACGTGTAAAGTAGGGGGAAATTGGCACACACCAGCTAACATGCCTGACGGATATACTGTATCTCATAATTGGCATAAAAAGAGTATCTTCTGGGAGCTTCCGTATTGGCAGAATCTCTTCTTACGACACAATCTTGATGTGATGCATATCGAGAAAAAAAATTTCGATAACATTGCCAATACAATCTTGAATGTCAAGGGAAGGAGCAAAGACAATTTGAAGTCAAGGTTGGACTTGCCTGAACTATGTGTAAGACCTGAGTTGCATATTACAAGCGAGGGAAAATTACCTGTTCCAAACTTTCGATTGTCCGGAGAGGCAAAGCGGGCATTATTGGAGTGGGTTGATTCTGATGTTAAGTTTCCAGATGGATATGTGTCCAAATTCTCAAGATGTGTTGAGCAAGGCCAGAAATTTTAAGGCATGAAGAGCCATGACTGCCATGTATTCATGCAACGACTGCTACCGTTTGCACTAACCGAGCTCTTGCCAAAACAAAGCCATGAAGCTATTGCAGGTAAAATAAGTAAAAAATTATATAATGTTCTTTTTATAAGTAATTAAGACTATTAATTAACGTTTATTTCTGTAAGTTATTAACTATATATATATATCTTCATGTAGGCATTGGAGCTTTTTTTAGGGATTTATGCACCCGGACATTGACTAAGGAGGGCATCGCCCAACTGGAAGAGAATATCGCCGTGTTAATTTGTAACCTAGAAAAGGTTTTCCCTCCTTCATTTTTTGATGTCATGGAACATCTGCCAATCCATCTACCATATGAAGCAGCGCTCGGGGGGCCTGTGCAATTCCGATGGATGTATCCGTTTGAGCGATTCATGGGACATCTTAAAAGGAAGGCTAAAAATCTTGCTAAGGTGGAGGGATCGATTGTTGCGGGAAGTTTAACCGAGGAAACTTCTCACTTCACCTTATACTACTTCAGTCCAACGGTGCGGACAAAAAAGACCGCCACCAAGCGATATGATGATGGAGGAGAAGCACCGACTTATCATGTTGACGTGCCAGATATGTTTGCTCAGATAGGCAGACTTGCTGAAAAAGTTAAGGAAGTTTGGTGGGAGGATATTGATCATTGTCGTGCGGCTCACAATTATATATTGCGGAACTGTGAGTATATACAGCCGTTAGAAAGGTATAAGAATAACTT